TCACGTATAAAGCTTACAATTACACGTTCTCTTTTTTAATTTCCCCCCACTCTTATACTGTACTTAACGGTCATAAAAATCTGCAGTGGACAAAGTAGTAATTTTCTGTTTGTCCTTTTTCTTTTTCTGCATAGTGGTTTTCTATAGTACATGTTGGTGGGGCTGACCTCAGAATCTAGAGTGCAACCCACTTTTTTATTTCTTCTGGTAGAATTATTGAATGGAAAGACAAATTCATAAAGCACTCTTTTCTTAACGATAGATCAAATAGTTCGGAGCCTGGTGTTTCAAGTAGGTGGGGAGTTTGGTTTCACAGTTTAAATATTATAACTCAGAGTCTGGTAGATATTTTATATTTATTATACAATGTTTTGATAGTTTAACAATGTCTTTAAGTTTATATTTTTATTTTTTATTCATTTTATTCTCAATCTATTAACTTTGTTCATTTAAGTCATTTACTATACAATTAAATGTAAATCGAATTCTTAATTATGCTGAACATCCGTCAAATTGCCTGTTGAATAGCGACGTACATTAAAATATAAAAGATTATTAGTGTATTTGAGACTATCATCATTTACCATTATTATCATTTTGACTAAAAGAACAATACTATTTTCTTACGATGTAGCTGAGTCTTTCATTAATTAAATTATATAGTAGATCCCAAAAAAATTATATCAAATGAATGCATTTTTTTCGCATTTATCAATAAAGTTGAATAAGAAAAAAAATTATTTTATCACAAAAAATATCTATTAATTAGTATACATAGAATTGTTTTAACATTAAATCGTAATCTCAAAAATAACTATGTTAAACCAATAGGAAACCAATTTGGAAGTGAGTTTGTGGGGTTCGATGAAACAAAGGTCCATGTGCCTCTAACATGGATAGGAAGACAAGCAATCCGACCGGATCAGATTCCCATTTTCTTGTATTCCATTTTCAGCGATGATGTGTGGAACAATCTCTCAAGTTGGATTCTGTTTGGGAAATTCGAACTCATGACACTTGGGTTGCTGCGAGATGCCACATTAACTATCTGTTAACTGTTTCATTTATTTTCTTTACGTTTGTGAGCCAAACAAGACATCTCATTTTACGCTACACTACTATTGAAGGTCCATAAGGGCCTAGTTAATTATTAAAATGTAACTGATACTCATCGGCAATTACAAGCAATAGGGTGTGGATTAGAGAGCTTATATAGCATTGCTTACCAAGAAACCATTCCATTCATTTAACTGCATATATATATATATATGAACATAAAAATGAAAGGGTCTATCCATCTTTCATTAATAACTAAAGCATAATTAACGGGGCGTAGTTTCTTGGAGCTTAATTAATGTTTTACAACATGGCTTGGACATAGCTTAATTCTCACCATTACCTAAATTATAGGTAACTTATGGAACAGATAAACATCGAATGAAGCTCAAATTTCCTTCCTAATACATAGGAAGTAATTTAAGCTTATCAGAATCATAATTGTGAAGGCTGTTACATGCAATGATTTCCTTGGACATACTGAGAGAAATAAATGGCCGTTAAGATGGGGTTTGGAAACCCAAAACGACGTATTAACCAAAAGGGAAACGAGGGATAGCGGCAATGGCAAACCATAGCCCCATCCAAACCTCACTAGTCTCAGTTTTATTAAACTAACTTACTCAATTTTTTTTAATGACAGTGAAACTTAGCTTGTCAGTTGGTGGGCTTAATTAGTTTCCAATGATAAGACACTAATCTAAGTTACCGATCGAGTTCTGTTCTAATTGGAATAAATTATCATGTTAAGTATTAACAAACCTGATCACATGGACATCATATTCATGATCGATCCAAAACTTTTGGTGAGAGAGAGAAGAAAATAATATAGATTGACTATGGATCATATAATAAGATGTTCTTTCTCCTATCAAGTACTAATGAAAGTCCACGCTCAAAAATAAGGTCTTACAATGAAATACTTTAAAAATTGATACCAGTTAAAAAACATTAAATGAATCATATTAAATTCTTTTAATTAATTATAAAAAAATCTTAAATCACTTTTTAATTGAGGAGTAAAAAATAGTTAAGGATTATTTTTTCTATTAGGAGAAATAGACTAGACAAAATTAGCTATATTCTTAAGAGAAAAGACTATTTATGGATAAGAAAATTAGACAGACGTACACACATATCCTTTATCCTTGTTTTTTCCTGAATAAAATTGGGTAAAGATGGAGTAACTAGAGTTAAAAAATAATAATGAATTCGTGCATTAGATTATTGATGTGGAAGAGAATCCTTTGGTGCAAACCAAACCGCTCCAACTTTAGCCTACTTTTAACTGTAAAAAGTTCTGTTTGATTGTTCTTTTTAAGGAAAGTTATTTTTAACAATGCTTTTAATAAAAACCTGAAAAAATTAGTATTTTCTCTTCCAAGTTAAAAAGATGAGAAAAATCTCTACATAATGTTTATAGCTCCCACTTCCTGGCTGATGCCATTATAGTTGTAGGACCAGAAAAGCCGTCTGAAAAGGGCAATTGAAGGTGGCTAGCATTTATTAATCTTGAGTATAGGAATCAAGTTCAAATTTTGGAACAGTATCTGCAGCAACAAATAGATTCTTGATTCCTCTATAATTGAATTTGAAGGCAAGTTGAAGCACAACAACAGAATACAAAGAATGGTTGGAGCCTGCAGTGGCCCTTTTACAAAACATGCATTCATCCAACGTTATTTAATGGGTCGGAGCGCAAATCTGTGTTTTCAATAAAAGAAATGTGAGAGAGAATCTTAGTGAATTAATATCTATAATCAAGAGCACTTGTTCTTGTTTGTTAGAGGTCACATTTATTATAGTATATATTTGGGTAACATAAGTTCGTACAACTCTCATTAATTTCATGCATATAATAATGTGACAAAGGAAGCATTTCTTAATTTTGGTGCTTGAGAGTGAGAACCTCCAATTGTTGCTATTATAAATTCCAACCTTTTTAAAGAAATTGTAACTTAGCCACAGTGATTGACTGATTCAGAAAGAAAAACCTATCTTGCTATTGGGCTGATGCTACTTAGATTTGGGCCTTTTTAGAGTTTTTCTTATGCTCATGAAAGGAGGGGAAAAGATAGTCATCATTTGCCAAATTATCCAAACCACAAGGAGGAAATCTCCTTCAATTGCTTTCACTGAAATTATAAAAGAAGGCTTCTGTTTTCGAAATTGATTTAGAATTGTTTAAATTATATTAATCATTAATTATAGTTTTCTGTAATTATTTTTAACTTAAACTTAGTATGATAAAAAAAAATTTAAATCAAAATATAATTATTGTATATTAAATTTCAAAAAATATAATGCTATCGGTTATCGTATAAGTGAGTGGCTTTTATAATTATATATCATCTAATAATCACCTTGGATCCATCGAAAATGATAGAAAGAAATCATGAAAAGGAACAGAGTATGAAAAAGTATAATTGTAAAAGACCAATTTTAATAATAAAAAGAAACATAGTTTTTTACAAGAACCCTTTTTAAAAATTTAATTTAACTATTGTCAAAATATATGGTATTGCAATTCTTATCACATATTAAGCTAATTGTGAGTTATGAATTTGATATTAATTATTATAATCAACAATGACATCTTTAGAGGTTGATTGGTCGTTATATTTGAATTGAATTACAATTTAAATATTCTGCCTATTATTACTCATTATCCCTATAATCACGATACCTAATTGCCCTTAACGGAAAGGAAAGGTTATGAATTTTTTAGGGAACAAAGGACTCTGATTTTGCCTATAAAACAAAAAAGAGAGAACCTCTGTTTCTTTTTTTTCCCGTCTAATTTTGGTTCTAGTCTTGGTTAGCAATGTCCTAGAAAAAAAAATGCACATTACTTTTATTTATTTATTTTTTTTATTATTTTTTTTTCAAGAACAATACTCTTATGTTTACAAAAGCCCAAGGAATTATATGAAGGGAACAAGCCGAAGACCAACATGCTTTAAAACCTTTGAAATGGATCTCTACATTTTCAGAGGATGCAAAACCCGCAACAATGGACTCCAAAGTCCAAACCCAACCTTTAATGCATCTCGTCTATAAACATAAAAAAAAATATCATGGTGACACTAAAAACTCATATTATATTATTATTTTTTATTTTATATATCTGTCTAGCAAAAATGAAATTTATTTCTATTTACTTATCTATGTAAAAAATTAATATTAATTATTATTTTTTATCAATGTCCTTTTATTTATTTAAGATTTCTAAATGTGCTGAATAGAGTATTTACATTAATTAAGTAGCTTAAAAATTAAAGAAAGACTCGTTAATTAGAACTACCAACACGAGTCAACTAGCTTGAGTTGAACTTAATTTTACATGAGCCAAGAAAAATTTAACCCAATAACCCACCAACTCAGTGATTTGATTCACTAAATAAAAAAATAAAAATAAAATATGTACATAAATAATAATAATTTAGTCAGCTATTTGCGTGTTAGTTCAGTATATTTTACGAGTTGGGAGAATCGATTATAATAACCACACAGTTCTTTTAAGTTTAAATTCTTTTTAGCCTAACTTATTACCAGTGAGCCAAGTTAAGTCATTTTACGCATCTAAATTTACTTTGATAGCTTTATTACTAAAATAAGAATATATTAAAAAAATAATTAAATAATTCCAATAAAATATTTAATTTTTATATAAATAAAAATGAAAATTAATTGCGTAAAATGAATTAAGATGTTCCATATATAGAAAAGTGAAAATTAATTGCAGAACACGTGTCCACTGAGTTAAGCTATTATGTTATGCATATATAGGCCTTTGCATTCGAACAACCTCAAAGGGTGACTTTATTTGTTGTAAAATTCTGATCGCTGGATTCCGTTCGCGGTTTCCACTTTTCTAGCTGTCGTTGTTTTCTGCAAACAAAAAAGACTCATTTTTGTTTGTGCCCACTTCACTCTTCACAGCGATCTCTAACGCTCACTTCTTTTCTTCTTCATTCCAACTCATCTTTTGCTTTTGGGTACCTCTCCTCTCTCATTTCATTCCTCTTAATTTACGCTATGGTGTTCGCTTGATTTCTCCTACTTTTGTATATATAACTGAATTGATTGTTATTGTTTTATTTGTTAACACCTTCTCCCTTGACCCTAACAAATCCCCATCTAATATTTGTTTAACTGTCTAATTAGTGAAATTAGATATTATTTGAATCGGGTTGATACCTTTACTTTTATCAAATCTTTGTATTGTCCAGTTTTTGGGGTTGGATTTATAGTTTCTCGGAAGATATGTAAAGTAAGAAAGTGAGAATATATCTATTGTTGATTTGAATTTATGCATTTATTACATATAACTAATTTTTCAATCAAAGGGCTCACTTTTCTCATTTTCTAAATCCTAGTTTCTCGTTGGATGTTCCCATATTTTTCATATACTTGTGAATATGAGGTCATATATATATATATATATATATATATATATATATATATATATATATATATATATATGCCCTTAAGTTTTGCTTAGGTAATAATCTTTCTTTTTCTGGTAGTTGGAATGATAGCACATATCTCAATCTGTGGCTTTGACTTTTGTGTACTTTACTAAACATCAAGTATGATTAAAGTGACTAATTAAAGATGGTTATCTTTTTGTTGACCCTATCTCATATTGTCTCTGACTGGTTCATTCAATGGCCTTTCACACCCTAAATGGTTCTTGAAAGTTATAAGGTTCTATACAAGGATTATAATAGTAATTGAAGATATTTCTTAATGACAACCTGGATATCATTGTTTTGCAGACCTTAATGTTTTGACTTCTTAATGATTTCTGGTGCTGGTGCAAACAATAATTCTAGTACAACCTGCAAATTCCTAAGAGGTGATTAGAAAATGCAGTTATATCATCATCCATTTGATTTGGACAGCCAGAAGGTGAGACTTGCATTGGAGGAAAAAGGCATTGATTATACATCTTTCCATGTCAATCCCATAACTGGCAAGAACTTGGATTCTTTATTCTTCAAGATGAATCCCACTGGAAGACTTCCTGTTTTCCAAAATGGATCTCACATCCTTTACAAGACTATAGATATAATCCAGTATGCTCCCTCTTCACAACCTTTTCATCATACTGTTATTACTGCCTCAAATAGATGTGCCAAAAAGAAACTTCACTCTGAATATTTATGCAACATTGGAAGTCATCCAAAGAATTTTTTTTCAAAGATTGAAAATTTGATTGGTGACAAAGCTGCTCTCTGCATATTTATCATTACTCTACCAATTCCCTTGATGCAGCCTATTGTACATGCTACTTTGGATAAAAGAGTGGTTTTTATGTTTTATTGATAACGCTTTATCACTGAGCCTTCTGGTCACTAAGAATGAAATGTTTAATTTAAATGTATTTTAATTTCTTTTGTTATGTGGACACATTTTAAAATGCTGGCTGATTTTCAGGTACATAGAAAGAGTTGCTGTTTTCTCATCAGGGTCTGAGAATATCACTACCAGCAGCAGGGAAGTAATTGAATGGATGCAGAAGATACAAGAGTGGGATCCTAAGTATTTTTCCCTTTCACATATACCAGAGAAATACCGGATTTATGTTTCCAAGTTCAGAAGGAGGGTTGTGATTGCTAGAATGTCTGAGTCTCCTGAATTAGCAGGTGCATACCATAGGAAGTTAAAAGAAGCCTACCGAACAGAAGAAAAGTTGAAAGAGGCAGATGTTTTGAGTAGGAGCAAGGAGCATTTGATTAGGCTGCTTGATGAAGCAGAGAGACAGCTGAGTGAAACACCTTATTTAGCAGGTCAAGAGTTTAGCATGGCTGATGTGATGCTCATTCCGGTGTTGGCTCGTTTAGTACTCTTAGATTTAGAGCATGAGTACATAACTGGCAGGCCAAACATTGCTGAGTATTGGGTTTTTGTTCAGCAGAGGCCTAGTTATAGAAAGGTGATTGGTAGGTATTTTGATGGTTGGAGAAAGCACAAAACATTGTTGAAAACTTGGTGCTTTGTTCGTATTAGAAGTTTGCTGAAGAGGTACTAGTGAGGCACATATTATGAATCATGGTTGCCTAAGGGAGGTTGAAGAAGTGAATGTATGAAAGCTTTTTGTCTGTATTGTAGATAAGGAGTTATAATAATTTTTGTTCTTTGTTTTATTTTTCCTTTTTGGTTTCAACGATCTCTTTTTTTTAGAGAGAAAAGGGGGGGTTCTTTTTTCTTTCTCCCTCATCAAATGGCGATGCTAGATCCAAAGTTTGGACTTGTTCCAGGATGACAAGGAAGGGAAATATAAGGAAGGATGCATGTTAGTGGTTAGTCGCCAAAAAATCTTTGGACTTAGCACTAGAACAATTCACCCTTGCCATCTTCCTTCATTGTCGAGAGAAAAGAGGCAATTTTATGTTTCTTCAATCAATTTGCAATTTCTGTGCAATGTTATGTACTGCTATTTGAACAATTTCTTCCTTTGAGGACTGCTCCTTGTTATGTATACATTAATTTTGGCATTTGTAAATGCAATTACAAGAATAAAGTACTTATCTCAAACTGTTCTGTCTCCTAAACAGATCCCTCCGGCGTTTTATACATTTTCTTCTTGCTTTGTTGTACGGACAACATGAAACAAAGTCAGTTTGTAATAAAATTTTCCTTGTTGCTATTTCTTTGTGATATATCGTTGATTGTCTTATCGGTAGACACGATAACTGACAAGTTGGTTAGTTTATGAAGTTAAAAGTTTTGTATCTAAATATGGATAATAATCATTTGAGAATCTTGGTAATTGGTTATCCTAAATAAGAAGAGAGAAATGGAAATAAATAGGAAGGAAAAGGGAAAGGAAAAAGATAAAAATATGTTATCTTCACAAACAAATTTTGAATCTCTAACTTTGCAAAAAATATTAGTTTGAGTTATTTTTATTTACACACGCACTTAAAAATTGAGTCTCTAACTTTGCGAAAAATATTCATTTGAATTTTTTTTTTATTTTTTTTTCATTGAAAAATGACAGACAGCTTCTCAAAGCTGTTGCTGTCCGGAAGTTTGTTTTACATTTAGCCACATTAAACTGATCCCAAACAACATAAATATGAAATCATCAAAATGTTGATGTGTGGGAAAATGTTTTCTAAACATTAAAAGTGATTTAACTTTTGTTGTCCCTTTTGATTGTGAAAAGTATTTCTAAATACATGTATACTAAATAAATAGATCAATAAAGATAATTATACAAGGCATGTGTCAATTATATGATATTCGAATAATGGACCGCGATGCCTGATGTATATACAATTAACATGCTCACAGCTACAATCTAATTTTACGGAAACAGCTGCAGAAAAAAAAAATTGCATCCTATTTGCTTATACAAGCTTTGAGAAATCCACTTATAAATCCACATGGAGAAACTGCAATAATAAACAAAGCGTTAATTATCAGTTTCCATTGGAAGTTAGACGGGTGGCTCTGTCACACTATTCTCCACCCCATTACTACGGATCCCGTACAAAATGTTGTGTTTTCATGGATAGTAATAAAGAGTTCTCTCGGTTTCATACAACGGGAAGATCACGGTTGTCAGATTTAATGAGCGGAGTAAGACTGCAAAAGTTTTCTAAAACGTAACATAAAATTGGACGGAACAAATCCATCCAATCACAAAAGAGATGAGAATGTCAAATTAGGTAGCTCATGACATTTCAAGTCTAGTAATGTAAATTCAATCCTTACCACTTTAATTTTTCAAAATAAAAGAGGTAAGTGCGTACGTACGTACATTGTCTACACTTCAAACAGTGATTTTTGCTTGAAGTGTAATTGATATCAACCATTTATGAATATTCAATTAATAGGTTAAATTTTTAACACAGCTGGTGATTGAGTTCGGGAAAATCAATAAACTGTCGGCAAGTCTGCCCTGCAAGAATAAGAACAGAATACACTGCTCTATCTAAAAATAATAACCAACCAATAAGCCCATCTCTAATAGAGACTGGAAAAATCAAATTAAAAAAGAAAGGGGCACAAAGTGTCTCCATCCTAAAATTGAAACTTTTCTTTCCAATTTCTTGAGACATTCACAGATATAATTTTGAAGCTTTTGAGCCATATAAACAATCAATCACCTAGTCTCCGAAAAGAAAAGAACCAACTTTTGAAAAAAATAACAATAATAAACGAGACAAAAAGTAAATAACTGACCATCTTGGTTCACAAAAAATAAATCAGACAGAATGTAATATAGGGAATTAATTCATTGTTTTAACTTATTTGTGAATTGTAAATAAAGATAATTAGCATAATCACAATTTTACCAGGAGCAAAACATTAATATTATTTAGATCAATCACGAGAGCAAAGAAATACGACGCTCCAATCATATCCATCCCCCCCCCCCCAACACAACTCTCACAAAACAACTCCCCTTCAGCTTCAGTCTGCTCATTTCAAATGTTAAACAAATATTACAATACTTGCCTCATCAATGCTGTGCATTTCCATAAGAGGATTTCCATTTTCTGGGAGGATAAGTCAAGAGAAACACCTACCTCTTGAAGGTTTGGGCGGATCAATAATCAGAACAGCAGGATCCCCCAAGGAAGTGTAGAAAGTGAAGGAAAGGAATGCTGAAATTGAATGAGATTTTCATTGAATAATAGATTCCGGAACAAATGAATTGACAGTACATTAATGTATATGGAAGAAAAAAGAAAACAAAAATAATTTCTTTTTCCTGTGAACAATATTGATGTTGCTGCTGTGCATGCTAATAAATATTATTGCCACCTTTCTCCTCTCTACAGATTGCATCCTCCGCATTACAAGTAACTTTTGAGTCTTTTGGTACATCTACATCTATACTGCACAAATCACCGCTAGAGTTGTTCTCGTTACAACTCCATGCATTCCTCCTGAACCATGGTCGATGTATTTTTAAATTATTCCATTTCTGCTGTCTAAAGTACCTCCTTCCCAAATCATTGGAGTCATCCTTCAATCTCTTAGTAATGTGTTTATTGTCCCCGCACTGAAGGTCTTCAGGGTTAGAACCAGTTGTGCTGGGAATCATATCATCTGAGTAACAATTAACCATACCACTTGTATCACAAAGCCTAACTTCAGCAGGTTGATCGACTGTTACAGCATTGATAGTAGTATTAGAAGGTTGACAGTCTTTGCTGTCCCGTGGATAGGGGGGTAGTGGAGGAAATGGGTGGAAAGGCATGCCAGGAGCAGTGACCCAACACTCTGCAAATTCAGCCTGAGGTGTTCCATACTGCTGGGCAACAGACCATGGCATTCCATACGAGACAGGCAAACGAGAGTTAAACTTCTCTTTTGGATGACCAATAACTAAATCAGAGGGACCTCCAGAATGGCTTGCATTTTGCAAGCCAAAATTACCAGAGTTTAGGGAAGCATTTAATGAACCCATTGGACATGAAAACCCTGGTGGGACATCCTCTTGAATGTTCTGGCTTTCACCAATAGAGCTAATGACCATATCAGAATGTGAATTTCCCTCTGCTGGTTGATCCCATCGGCTTTTACGCTTACGTTTTTTTGCCCCTTTGATTTCAACACCATCTAGAGACACTGCAGGACAGGCTTCCTGGGCACCAGCATCTACTGAAGTTGTCACAAGCATTGACTGCTGAGTACAATCAATTGCTTCTGTAGCCCTTATATCCTGCTCATGCCTAAGAGACTGTGATACAGGAAATCTGTTACAGTTGAAACTTCTGTGAGATTCCACCCAATTATCATCCCTGTCCATATAGCCATGTTTTCTGGCATGTCGGGGAAACCATCTGTCTCTGAAGCTTCGAGCAATTTGATGGACCTATATATGCACAAAAAAAGAAACAATGAAAATGTTCAAAAATTCATCTCCCTACCCAAAAAAACAGATACACCAATGGTTAAAAAAATTCTCTAACAACATATTTCTTGGCACTCATGTAGAAAATAGAAATGAACACGTTAGCATAACAGATACCTGTTTGTCATCATGCTCTGTCAGGGAAAGCATTGACTCCCTAAAGCTGAACATGAAACCAATTATTAGTAAACGAATATAAACTTAAGGAGCATCAAAACATTTTCCTCAAATCTATAAGGAAGAAAATAGTGTAATTAATTTGCAGGGAGAAATAATTATATCTATTCAACTCAGAAAAAAGAATGCAAGCAATTTGAAGATTTAAGACATTGAACTACAGAAAACTTCTACTTGATTTTAACAATTGAAAAGTGACAAAGCTATCGATAGAATGAAACAAAAATCTTTGTAAATGAGTACCAAGAAAAGCTTTCATCCTAGTAGGAAGAAAATATATACAAGGCTGACATTCTTTAATATTTCGAGCACAAAAGGAATACAAATGCGTATTGATATTTTGTAAGAGATTCTACATCTTCTCATTATCTACCATATCTTTAGTTCAATGTACTTAAAATAAGCTTTGAAATACTAAGATGGAATAGGAAAACATTGATGATAAAAACTTCTTTCGTAGTTAGTGTTAATCATAATAGCCAAAGAAAAAGATGGTGAAGAGAAAGTCATAAATTGTTACCAAACTCAGTGCAACTAGACAACGAACTTACAACATTTAACAAAAATTCTCAATTTTGCTTCAGTAAATTTGAGATGGATAAATTTGAAATTTTCTGACCTCTCCATTCCATGACATGGAGGACCACCATAGATATGTTCGGATGTCAATATCCTGCCTGCAGCTAGGAACTCTAAGACCTGCAAAGAAAGTTGATCAGAGAAGGTTTCTGTATATTTTCTCAATACTCACTTCATTTAGACAAAGAGAGAACAAAGTAAGGAAGACAGTAAACAAAATATTAGGATCTAGCATATATAAATAATCTATTGAATATAGGATGGTCAAATCTAGGCACCTAATCAATAATTACGAGACTGAATCATCACCGTACTCTAACATCAAAACTGAATAATTAGAGAAACTGGCCAACATCTAAAAGAAAGGGAATAAAATGCATTAACATCATGCAAATGCCAAAATATGGCCATTGTATAAAGTTGCAAAATATGTTTTTGGTAAACAGAACAAACAGCAGCACACCAATCATATAACATGCAGTGAATTCAGTACAATCAATTAAAGGATTTCTATTGTACAGGAAGAACAATAATAACATGTCATGATGAATATGGTCTCCAACATCGAAACAAACCATCCCCATTTTAGTATCATAAGGAAAGCACACACTCAAACAAATGTAAAAATATACATCTAGTCATTCAATGGTATGCAGTAATATAAAATAATGGAATGAAACTTATATGTAACCTCTTAGGAAAAACGAAGATAACAAACAAATAAAATATGATCAATTCCCATTTCAGCACCTTAAGAAGCTTTCGTAGTATGGGAATTTTTTTGAAGTCCTGCCTGTACTGCTTCATTATGTTATGTAACATCTGTAAACCTGAAAGACGATGACTATAGTTACTTTTAGACACAGCCAAAGGTGCAATGATTTTACACATTCCAGATACGTGGAAAAAAGTGCACCACATACAGTGCAAATATAGATTACCATTTTTGCTAATTATATCATTCAGCACTGCCCTAGATTTTGTTTTCAGAAGGGCATCAAGGATCATGGAAAGATCTCGATTGCTGCAACCAAAGTTTAAAATTTCCTTCAATTACATGTCCATGTATAATGAAAAGGTCCAGTATAAGCATTGTATAATGTGTGATAAAAGAAGAAATAAAAAGGGCAAGGAAAAGAGGACCTTTGAATTGCTTCACCATTGCTTCTATCACCTGATGCCACAGTGAGAAACAAAAGCTTTAAGTACCCTTTGGTGGCATCCTGTTACAAGAAAAAGGGTGAGGGCATTCAAATGGTGATCACTGAAAAACCATTAAACTGCCCAGTTACCTAGCACTAGCTTCATGATAGCTTGAATATAAAGGCATTCAGGAAGAAGTTACAAAATTGAAGAAAGAAAAGTACAACAGAAGACATAGATATTTTAGCAGTAAAGATTTATGCCTGTTGCTTTGTTACATAATTCACTGTGGGAAAATACTAGAGTACACATGCAAGTACAAGCTTCCAAATAAATGTATCTATCTGAAATATTATGTTCACTTGGCTCCTATATAAATTATAAAACACTCACTTTTCTTTTGCTTATTCCCCCATCTCCATCCAGCAACTCATTTAGTTTCTCCTGAACTGCACGTAATGAAAAGGTTTATCCATTATAACTGGTTTCAATAACCATGTTACCAAACTAAAAGGGCCGTTACCAACCTGCTTCAAACCTTCCATTGGAAGAACCTTCTACTTTTTTGTGCTTGATAGATGACACCTGCAATCGGTTGGCTGTCACCTCAGCTTTAAGGCCATTTGGAGGATCAGCACGAACCTTTCCCTTTTTAACAGAACCATTTAACTTAGGAGTCTTCACAAGCAGATGTGTTTGTGAAAAATCCTTCCTGCCTTCAACTATTTCAGACTTGGATTCCCTATTACTTAACACTTTGTCAACAATTGTAAGGGAAGTAGTCTCTAATCTTTGAATCAAAGTTTTGTCAGCAAACTCTGATTCTATTGCATATTCTTCTTCTAAGGTAGGCTTGGGTTTGCTGGTTACATCCTCCATTTGTTGAGAAATTTCTTCAACATGAACAGAAGATGGTAACTTGCCCTTCGAGTCCTCTGCTTCTACGGAGCTATGCAACAGAGAAACAGCAGAGGCAGGGTTCATGGAACTCTCTTTCTCTGGAGAACCGTCTCCACTGAGAGCAGTGGTAGACTTGTCCAAAATATCCCTGTCTTTTAACATATGCCTGGAAGATTGTGTATCAACATTATCAAAGTACATGGGTATAGGTACAGCATCCTCAATTTCACCATCTTCGGAAAGCATAACAGGTTCTGGAAATTCTTCATCTGAATCACTTTGAACTATAAGTTCAGCATTAAGTGGATCACCACCACCTATATAACCTCGACAATGAGGTGAACCGCAATAACATTTTTTGGCAGCAGCACCAAAAACCCTTACATAGTTGTAATCAAATGTCAATTCTTCATCCTGGGGAAGGTGGAGGTAAAATAGTTCAGCTAGGCACAGAATAATACATACTCATGCTTGCAGATCAAATAGAACATGTAGGAACCAAGTTTCATATTCCAAAACCCATAAAGTAAGAAAATAGGACCTCCAAGTCCTCCAACATCCAAATTAATAACACAAATTATCTACCCCTCCCCCCACCACCATAAAAAACACTTCACTATTAATCTCTTCAAGTTTAAAGGCATGTTCAAGACCTAAATTGATCTATTTTATTAATTTCATGCAGTTTTAATCTTTCATATCAAACAATATTCATAAATAATTCTGGATTGGCAATCAGCATGAGACAATCACTGTTTTTTCTCTCCTGAGAAAAAAATAATTAAAGAAAAACCAACTAAGCATAATCTGGTTTCTAACCAGCATGGGTCGCAGCAAGCAATAAACTAATTAACTATGAAAAAAAATTGTTGGAACAGAAAATAAATTGAAATTACTTTTTCAAACTTTCAAAATCACAATGTGAAACAGAGCAGCTAAAAAGAATCACAAAACTGCAAGATCTAGTGCAGTTAACAAATACATAACACATGAAAGTAATAAATGGATGATGAAAGCATACCTGCTTAATATCCCTCAATGCAAACAGTCCAATACAGATTTCCCCATTCACCATCCACTGTTAAAGAAAAGGATGGAACACAAGGTCAACTGAAATGAAAAGAGCATGATACTAATGTTCATGATCCAGGAACTAATGTTTGCAAAATGGCATTAGGGATATGATATGGAAAAGCATACATCCAGATTTCTAATTACAAAATAAGCAGCATGCAAAGTGTAAATTCTCTGCAGACACATGCTAGCAAGAATATACAACAATAATCAAGCCTTATCCCACTAGGATGAAGTCAGTCGGCTAATGCTAGCAAGAATATAGCTCCCACTAAAACACCAAATAAATAAGCTTATCTAGTATCATCACCTTACTTCAATAAACCACAAAAAATAATATATTCACCTTTTCTGTCCGGCAATTAGGATCACAACTATGATTAATGAAACGGCCCAAGTTTCCTTTAGCACTTGCATCAATCACCTGAAAATAAAAAGAAATGCAAATGATAAAGTAGGATTAAATGAGTAACAGGTGGAAAAAAAACAATAATAAATCATGTTGAAAGAACCAGAGGACAACATTCCCAATTCTCAACTGAATGGAATCATTAGCAAACAAAATGGAAAATTCAAAATGTGATAACTATCCAAATTGGCCAGTACGTTGTCCAGCATCCAGATGCAGACATAACATGTGATACTTTCCACAATATCAGTAACTTAAGAGCTTGTTTTGTTTGTTTTCTGTTTTCATTTTCAGTTAATATGTTTTGACTCAATAGTCAATCCCAAATAACAGTGCAAAGCAACTGACCCCAAAAGCACTATAGCGAGATAACACATAGTGGGATGACTACTATTTTGAAAATTTAAAATACACTAAATATTGATTAACACATAAATATGCTAAAGATTTCAAATTTCAATTGTTGGGAGGGGTTCTCAAAAGTCAGAACAGGGAAGAAAAATAGAACAAAATAGAGCGATCTCACCAAAAAAAAGCCCCAACACAAATAGTCTCGCCAAAAAAATATGGGTCTTGATGGAAATGAAGATAACTAAAACTTGGCTAGATATAATGAACAGAATCAGATTTTGATTGGAAAGTAGCCCCTAATGCAAATGGGTCACGTTAGAAATGAGTAGGTCTTATCGGAAGCAGAAGTTGCCAAAGATTGTGAATGGGAGCAGTTAGGGGTCAAGAGTGCTGAGTTTGAAAGATACAACTGCATGCAGAAATTGATCATGTAAAAGGGCAGAAAATTCCAAAATTGCCCCCTTAAAAGCCTTCTAACGTTAAGAAAACTAGGGTAAATTTGACATTTCTGTTGTGTATCAAATAGCAGTCATGACTGCAGCGCTACACAAAACCCCAACGCTATGCACTCTGTGTCGCAGCAGGGAGCTGCTCCGCCATGATAGTGCCACTATCATGGCGTATTGACTAATGTGTTTTGACTGATAATTACAAAAATATCGCATTTAACTGACCTCTATAGTTCACAATCAATTAGTTATACCATAAATTGACAAAGCAAGTTAGACTTTCAAACTATGGTCTACACTGGAGGCTGGAGTAGTTTCTGGGATTCTAATTTTGTACAGGGACATCTTGTGGGGGGGGGGGGGAATATGGAGATTCTTCTAAATTATCATGGCAACAAGAAAGGCCATAGACATAATGCAAAAGAATTCTGTTCCCAGAACATAAATTTCTTCCTTTTTTAACTTTTCTTTGACGAAAAGGGAAGAAGAGATAATGTAATATAACATGCTATTGTACTTGAACAAGTCCATGTGTTTCTAGGTGACAAATGTTCTCAGGACTACTAAAAGTACAAAACTGAAGATTTCGTCTTCAATAAATAAATAAGATTGTTTCATAACTTTCATTTAAGGATGCAGATATAGGTTAGATTCATACCTCACTGCCATTCAAGGTCATAAAATAGAAATGTCTATGACCTTTCAAAGCATACTCTCTTTGTCGTGCCTCGTAAGCTTGCATATCAAGCACCTGTTTGGACCATAAATTAGATATTAAATACTTAAAGGTCAACGATGTACACAAGCTGTGCATCACTTATGCATGTACAACAAATACATGTTGCATCAATGAACCTAAATAGAATAGCAGTGTAAATTCTAACTCTACAATGCATAACATAATCCAATTAATACAGAATCCAATATGCATAGAATACTCCAAGCCCTCTGTTAACAACAAAAATGAGTTGATAGTTAAACATAAGCTAAGCTGTTCTTTAGCCCTAGCCTAAATGCATAGGCGAAAGGTTGAGTGATTCTAAGTGGATCAAACCCATCCTTTAAATGAAAAATCATGTTATTTTGTCCGTGAAGCCCAACAGAATTCTTTCACATGTGCTACTGCATTAGACATCAACATAACATTCTTTGTACTACTCAGCCAAAATGTTAAATATTTTTCCATGGCTCTTTACTGCTATTTAAAGAGCAAATCAAATAGTAGTGGTTCACTTAAACTAAATCGACTCACTCCCCACTTATTATAGCTAATACATCAATTAGTAACATAACGTCAAATATTTTTAGCAGCAAAAAGAAAAGATAGGAAAATGAGGATCAACAAACAATATCTTAGGGAAAAGAAATAAATTGGAATTGGGAACAAAAGAGTTGAGTAAGGCAAATATAACTTGATGGCATCTATAACTTCATTAAAGGTAATGTTAACTCTTCTGTCCCCAAAAATTCCGTCCAAATATAGAACCAAAACACAAATATTTGATCACAAAATTTTTATTTTCATGCTCAAAAGGAAGAAAAGATTGTCCATATTACCTCTCCAACATATTCAATAAGAAACTGGCCTTTAGCTACATGCTCAAGTGCCTTAAGTCCATAACCCTTTTTCCCACATTTAAACCACTTCAGGCTGGCATAAATGCGTTTTTGGAACTGAAATCAAATGTTTGAACCACAATCAATCAATCATGCCATTTGGAAAATGACCAAATAATGGTATAGTTTTAAGAGAAAAATAAATAGTTTATTTTATAAACCTGCTGATTGGAACAATGATCCCCACATGGGCAGGTTCCTTGCACGCATTCGATGTTAAGCATCCGATTAAGACATTCATCCCCACAGCCCAACTTGCCTTCTTGAGGTGGTTTGCAATGACAGACCATTATCTGGTACAAGTTCAGAGGCGCAATGAATAAGGAGTATAAAACTTGATGTGCAAATTTGCAAATTCCGAAAAGCTTAATGGAAACCTAAGTGTTACCCATCATGATTAAGCATAAACCTTAATCAAAATGTAAAATAAAAAATACTAGTGACTGATGCGAAAGCAAAAGAAAGACATGTAGCAACTGGAAGCAAGGCAATGAAGCATACAATTCCTAGTCGTACATAGAAAGTAATAAGGTCAAATGATTCATCCCCTCTTCAGCAGAGCACATCCACAATATAAAAGTACTAAATAGTTCAAGTGATGTTTAGTTATATCATATATGCTCTGCATTTTGATCAAATGTGGTTCAGATGGACTTCCATGATACTATTTCTCAATGTTTTTAGGGGAAAAAATATGAATGATAAGAGGAAAACCTAAAGGAGGACAGAGAATCCTCCCGAAATAAAACAGAATGCGCACACACACATAAGAAGAAAGAAAGAACATTTTCTCATTAAATCTATCAGTCGCTCTGCACAGGAAACCAACATGGACAGTTTCACATTTTAAGTACATACATTTTAATCCAACATAACCACTTATCTACTCAATCCAATGTGCAACCTCAATCAAATAATGTAATAATCTCATGTAACGAATAAAAAACTAGAACAATCCAGGACCTCATCAATAGTCTGAGTTTTATGGCTACGATGCAGAAACTCATTGGTCAAAATTCGGGTAAAAGTTGACTCCTGGGAAACTGCAATGCATAAAGCAGAGTAAACATCAGACACTAAAGAAAAGATTAAATGACATTCCTAAAACAGTCTAGCTTCAAGCTTAGATTTCATTTTACATATAAAACTAAACAAACTTGCTAACAAATATTGCATACCCATTGGTGGCCGATATTCTAATTCCTTATAATTTTTGGAGTCTTCATATGCATCTTCTTCACCAGAGGCATCTGATAATCCCAACTCTGCATTAATCTCTGCATTTGACTTTTCTTGAGGGATAGCACAATCAGCAAAGGCTTCATCACTGCTGTCCTTACATGTCCTTCAAAAGAATATCAGCCATGACAAGATGCAAGTTACTAAAAGAAACTGATAAAAAATGGGACTAGGTATTTGCTTTATGTACCTTCTATGTAATAAAGAAAAGGATTGAAATAATTAACTACAAATATAAATCATCATTAACAAAAAGAAAATTTTGCAATTAAAACCTAGATAATGACCAATTATTTATGGTAAATTAATAATAAGTGAAGTCAATCATGAAAAGATCTATTTCTAAACTAACCCTAGCATACAAACAAATACATGTTTACATCATATTCTGCCTCTTCAGCTTCTAATCAAGAATTGTAGAAAATTATAACGAATAATGTGAAGGAAACATGGTATACCAGGTGCAGTTAGTTTCATCAATTAGGTCTGCAAGCACAGCAGGAATTCGCCTCCACTTGTGACAATCATCACAACGCACCCATGCATTACGGGGTGATAGAAGCTGCTCCCCCAGACCAACACCAGACAGCATGTCAAAATTAGATACATTAACTGATATTTTGTTGTCCCCAGCATTAATATTTCCAACAGCTTCCAACTTATGATTTCCAATGCCATTTGCTGCTGTGAGACCAAAAGTAAAAAAATAACAAATCCTATTCATGCTTGATTGCTAAAACCAAATAATTAGCACATAAGATTAAGAAATAAAACTTTAAAGTAAGATTTAGATAACCATGAAGGACCTGAGGTTTGTCACAGATGAATCCAATAGACAAAGAATAATATCACATTATGATGCAGTCTATTTGACATATAAAAGTTACCTGGATGTGGGTGATCTTCTGCTTCACATGCAACTTTAAGAGCGACACCTTTTCCCTTGACTTCACTCTTATTAATTGCCTTCTTCTGTTTCTCCTTTCGCGTAGAAGCAGTTTTCTTTCTTCTTGTTGAGTCAGAAGCTTTTGACTTGGTCTTGCTAACTTTACTAGGTCTAAGACTTTTTGGCAGTTTACGCCCAAAGGATCTTGCAGAAGATGGCAAATTCTCAGAACCCTGGGATTCTGATAATCCATGGTCGACAGATGGTTTGCAAGTTGTCTTAACTTCCATGTGATTTTTAACATTCAAAGCCTCCGTGAGGCCTTCAAGTTCAGTCTCTACAGGAAGGGGCAATGATTCAATGGACAATTCTTTACTGCTCACAGGTATGCTTATCTCTGTAGAAGTAGCCAATTCCAAAGAGCTAAATGCATCACTGGAATTCTTCTTACGTCCGCGATTCTTTGAATGCTTAGCTCTGCTATTCCCAGGTGGACATTGTGATCCATCTTCAGTGATACAATTATTGGAACAAATAAGTTTGTCTTTTTTCTTCCCTCTCTTACTGAAGGTAACATCCAAATTAGAATTTAAATCTTTCGAAGAGCCTAAGATAGCATGATGTACATCTTCTTGATGTCTTTCTCCAACCTGGACTTCAGGAACTGAATTAATAACTTCGGAATCAGGTGAAGTCCCAGGATCCATACCCTTATTATTGATAGGTTCAATCAATGCTTCAACCACCTTCTCTGAAGGAACAGCAAGACACAGTTCCTCTGCATCCCCATCTGATTTCCCTGTTATTTCAGTATTTTCTAACTGGCTATTTACAATGTCTCCTTTGAGAACAGGACCATCCTTATCCAGGTTGTCATTGAAAGATTCTAAATTTCCCATAGCCGCTGCTTCTGAAAATTTTTCTTCAACATTGCTGGCTACTTCCTGAGAACCTAAGCCAGACCCCAAGAAGGAAGCAGAAGTCAAGCCATCAGCAGCTGCTGGAATCAAGACATTTGAGCAACTTAAATCAATTTCTTTCCCAAACTTGATCTTCAGACGAACGCGAGTAGTTGAAACAGAACATTTCTGTACTGAACTCAATGAGCTAGTACCTGCATCATTCCTAGCTGCTTTCCCACTTTGACGCCTACGTCTAGCTTTTCCCAATTCTTGGCACATGGCTTCCCCAACTCCAAGCTCATTATCTTTTTCAAAAAAGTGTTTAATATTCCCAATCAATCCCCACGTAGAAGAACGAGCTGGTTTGGAGAAACAACTTCTTTTCTTTCTGGCAGCCTCTAAGTTTATCTCCATACCCCCACCAAGACGAGTCACCTTGGCCTTGTTCTTGCATCTTTTTGTAGCCTTTTTGGTTTGTGTCTTACAACCAAATTTAGTTCTCTGACTATTTCTTTGAGAAGGTAATGGAATGCTTTCAGTAACACAACCAATTTCAACAGCTTCTTTTCCATCATTACCTGTCTGTCCAGGATTATCCACTGCACTATTATTATTGACGGAGACATCATTGCCCAAACAACAGAAATCAGGTACATCCTCTGAAGAGAAATCAGTAACTAAAGCAACAGAGGGCTGACCTGATTCTGGATATAATGATTTTTTAAAGGTAGAGTTGGCTGTTTCCTCTGAGGTACAATCCTTCAATTTACAGAAATTATCTTCTATTGGCATTACACCATTCTTCATTTCACACCCTGGATCCAACATGACAGGCTCACAAGGAGAATCAACTACAGGTGACCTCCCCAAGGTCACATGGCAACCTGGAGAGGATGATAAATTTACACAAGAACTAATATTGATTTCTTCACAAGTATGATTCCAATCCTCACCATCTTTCAGACAATGTAGCTGATCACTTGTGCTCTCTATTTCTGTATCTGTACATAATGCAGCTGATGGCACTTCTGTAACTGGAGAAGGTGATATGTGCCTGGAAGCATCAGCTTCCTTCTGAATTAAAGCCTCACATTTTTCTACAACCTTCAACAAAGGATCTGCATTTCTCATAATTTCCTCCTGCTCATTTTTCAGGCTGCAATCAACTAGCAAGTCAACCTCGGATTCTGATTCCAAAGACATTCCAGAATGCCTGAAATCAAGTGCACAATTGAAAGCATCAGCGAGAAAATCAGCCTCGCTGTTTTTCCCTTCCGTGAGATCTAAATCATCTCCTTCTGAGGGTAATACATCGCTCTTACCATCATTCTGCTCATCCTGTTGGGCACAATGACTCTGCAACTCATTTGTAGTTAAGGATTCCAATGGCAGGTCAAAGTTGCCATCGTCTTGAAAATTTGACTCTGAACCACTTTTTGGACCGGAAATTTCACTGTTCCCACAAGAAATCCCCAAACAATTCTGACAATTATCTTCTGCAGTTTTCTCCAATGGTAACATATCAACATTCTTACACTCACTTGCCAAATCCAAAGCATCTCCGGACCCGCCAGTAACATCAACAATGCTTGCAGAACCCGCATGACCCTCACCCTCATAACCATCAATCATACTGGAGGGGTCAATATTAGTGTCCAACCCATTGTAAGCTTCTTCAGAACAGGACGCCTGCACGGAAACTAACTGCTTCGGAATCTCTGAGCACAAATGCTGTTCGATAACAGACTCTCCTGAGCGATCATCAACGATAACAGATTCCCCACACGATCCCATCTCAAATCACAATCAAATCATTCAAAAATCTAGCACAACGCCACTAACACGTCACTCTCCGATTAACAAAAACTGAACTCCAAAAACAACAAAAAAGATGAGAATCACCAAAGCGAGCACAATGCATCACCCAATACCTAACAACGCAACCACAGAGAAACTGTATCTAGAATTAAAGCAAACTAAAGAACACTACCTGCACGTGAAAACCGTCTCCCGGAAAGAAAACCCTAGAAAGCAGCATTATTCTAAGACCCGCTGCACGGAAAGAGAGGAGCAAAATTAAAAATTAAAAAAAAGAAAACCCTACTTTCAGAATCTCTGCCTAAAAATGCAGACGGAAACACGAGTTCCTAGGCCAAAATACGTTAACCAAATATTAATATATCAAAAATCGAAAACAAAATTAAAAAATCAAAACATAAAAAACGAAATTAAAAAAAAAAAAAAAAAAAACTAGAAGAAGAAGTAGGTTACAGATATTACCTGGTGAGGTTGTGTGAGATTGAGGATAAGGAAGTTATGCCCTTTCAACAATGATATTTTCATAAAAAAAAAAAAAAAGAAATATTCTTTTCCCTCTGTGCCGAGGAGAGAGAGTGTTGGGTCTGCGTCGCGCGCAGAGAGAAAGCGAGAAAGAGAAAAAGAAAAGAGATGGTTGGTGAGGTTGTCAACGAAAACAAAATAAAAACAAAAATAAAAAATAAAAACAAAACGGTTTGAACGAAAGAAAGAGGAGAGAGTGCTTCTTTCTTTCTATCCGACCGAAGGAGAAATTTTCTTTTTCCTTATTTATTTTTATTTTTATTATTATCTGGGAGGACCTAAATTCGATGTTGATTAGACCGTTTTACCCTACGCGCCTCTCTTCATCTTTTTGTTCTTCGCAGGACACATGTCTTCTAACTATCTCTCCCAAATATTTTCCCTTCAAATTTTTCCATCTTTGTTTTTTTATTTTTCAATGATAATAATATTCGATAAAGAAAGTACCCTTTTGATAGGGATTTGTGATACTTTAGTGCCAACCCACTACATACCAAAGATATTGTCTTCGCCGTGTTCTTTTTCGTATTATTATTATTATTATTGAGATAAAGATAACTCTTGTGTTTTTTAATTATAAGGTTATTGCCTATAATTATTTGTTTCTTTCTGTCAATATTTCATAATTAATTTCCAACTAATTTAAAAGGTTAAAAGCAAGTTTATTTATTATTTAAATGTCAAATGAATTTGAAGTACTAACGAACGCGAAAAATTATGATACGGTTTTTACCGAACATTGAAGATTCAGTTGGTTTGATTTAAAGTTAAACGTAATATTTTTTATATAAATGTTTTTTAAAATTATTATACATAATTGAGATAAGATTAAATTTACAGTAATTTTTGTGATTGAGAGAATTTGCTACACCTGAAACAATTCTTATCGTTATTTTAAATTAATAAATAATAAAATTATTAATTCAGTTAAAAAAATGTTAATACTTTTTTATCTTATTTTTAAAATTTTATTTTTAAAATATTAAAAAAATCACAACCATTAATTTAAAGAAATATAAAATACTTTTTTTAAATTTACAGATACCACAATAAACACACACAAAATAATATATAAATTAATTTAAATTTATAGTTTTTAAAAAATTGATTTCTTTAAAATTTTTAAACAAAAAGTTCTTAAGAATATTTAATTATAGTTTTTGAAGCTTCATTCTGTATCTGTATTTCTCCAGATACTGCCGGCTCCAACACAAAATTTAAAAAATATGATTTTATTTTTTTTAGGTTACACACACTCTATATCTTCTTGTAAAAATGAGATTCATATAAATAAAGGTTGTAAGAGTGTGGTTTTTTATATACAAATTAAAATAAAAAGTAAACAAGTTTCTTTCAATATATATATTTTATAGAATTAATATGACAGTCAAAAATATACTTATTATACAATATATTACGATTCATAATTATATATTACATGTAATTTAATAAATTAAATAAAAATTTAATTCAATTGTTAATTTATACAGATTTTTTATTTATTATAATTTTAAATATACATTAACAATTTAATAGTAACAATCTCTATCGAACATATGTTTTTGATATCTTATATTATAATAAATTCATTTGTTTATATCTACTAATATTCAATGTTATGTTTAATAAATATAATATATACATTAATAATTATATTCGATCAAAAGAATACTATAATTATTATTCATAACTTAAAAAATTAAATGTAATATGATTTTAAATTTATTTCTTCATATTTTAATAATTTAATATTCAATAATATATATGATAAATTTAATTATTTCTTTATTTATTAATATTTATATGCAAAATTGACTGTAATTTGGTATTAAATAGTATTGTTAATAAATATGCTATATAATTCAATAACATTGTAATTATCATAATAATAGAATATTAAATAAGTAATCTGCATTTATTTATTTATTTATATTTGATATATTTTATTTATTAATCATAACTTATAAAAAAATGTCATCATCAGTTTTTATCATAATATAAAAATACACATATACTACATTAAAAATATTAAATATAATATAAATTTGTGATAAAATCAAAATTTATAATAGTTATTAAGTATTTCTAATAAAATCATAAAATTATATTTTTATTATCTAAATTTATCACTTTTTATATACTTTTTGTATATTATATAATAGTTTTATTTTATATACTTTGTATATAAATTTATTTTTTAAAATTAAAATAAACTCAGGCAATGCTTTATAAATGTATATTAGACTCGGAATTCGATTCAAGGCCCATTTCTCCTTGAATCAGCATGCAAGATATAGTTCTCCACGAATTAAAGATAATATAGATTAAAAATAATCTTAAAAATTTCATTTTAATACAATTTTTTAATAAAAAATATTTTAAATTTTTTATATTGTATAAATAATTTAAAAATAGTAAATATATAATAACACCTAAAGGTCTCGCAGAGTTATCTTCTCCCTCTCCTTTCTCAATTTCTTCTATTTTAGATAATTATTTTTTTGAGTCTCAAAAAAATATCTCTCATCCCTCTCCTCATATAAATAAATAAATTATCTGTCTTTTTTATTATTTTTTATTCCCTCTTTCCATTCTCCTCCTTATCCAAACATATCATAAATGTATAAAATAAAATTACAATTAACAATAAAAAATTTTATATATGCATTTAAAAATTTTACTTTAACATATTTTTAATAAATGTTTTATTAATGGTGTATTTTAGTACATATTTAGACTTAAAATTAATCATAAAAATTTAATGACAATAATATTTAGACTTAAATTTTAAGAAGTAAAAATTATTATAATATTTTTCATGTTTTATAAATAACTTTATTCTGAACAGTAATAAAAACAATAAATTCTTTTGAGTACATATTTTTGCATATAACTTATAGACATTAAATTAATAAAAAATACTTTTTTGATAACAATATTTTTGACAAATTTATGAACATGAAAAACTATTCATCTTATAAATATATTATAACTAATGAATATAATATTTTAAGTATATTGTTAACATTTAATATAATATTTTGTTAAATTAATTATATATTGTTATTAATAAATATATCACTAGATGCTAGTATGTAGAGAATTTTACTCACAATCACAACCTAACTTGTGAGATTCAAAGTACGAAATTTGTCAACAATCTCCTATTTAAATAAACATCATTGCAAGGTAACCAAATTTTGGTCACAAAGCTTAAAGCCATATAATCAGCCATAAGTTATTTATTAATCCTTTGTGGCATAAAGTGATCTTCATAATTTGGAGGATGGGCTTCTTGAAATATAGTCTAAGAATAAAGAGATTCCCAAACTTGAGATGAAAAGATACATGTGAAAAAAGATGTATATATTTTTTAGAGGATTGTAAAAAATGGGCACCCTATATATCCTGTTGAGATAAATTAATATTTTATTTGAACAAATTGTTTTGTTTTTGTTGGCAATATTTTTAGTGAGACTTGTCAAGCAAATTTTAATAAATTGGATGGTTAAATTTATTACATGAATTTTTATTTAAAAAATTATTAAATAACGATTTAATTAAATTGTATATCTAAATCACTCTTAAAAAAAGAATGAATCAATAGCTACTGTATTTTGTTATAAAATTGTCAAATAATGTGAGCATGTTGTAAAATTATCAAATAACCCAAAGCATGTAAATCAATTAATAGAAATTATTTCAGCTTAATATGTGATTTTAATTTGAAATTCTAATGAATATTGTTGAGTTAAGCATGAAGTTTCACCGCCTACAATGTTTCTACATGACTTACTTGAGCATAATTTGCTTAGATACATATGTTTTGGACAAAACGTTTGTCAAATAATTTTCCAACAATCTATACGTCTGTCTATCCAGGGGCTATACATATCAGAACCATCATATTCTAGTCGCTACTCATCATCTTAAATTTTTTTTAATTTATATTTATTTTAAAAACAAAATTACTATTTTTATCTTTTAATTTAGGATAAAATTTATTTTTATTCTCTAACTTTTTTTTATTCATTTTAAACCTTTAACTTTTAAAAAAAATTTAAACAGATCCTTTTCTATTAAATATCATAACTTTGTTAGAAAGTTTTATTGTTGTGCTACGTGTACTGTGTATTATTGTTCATCGTATTTTTTTTTTATATCTTTGATCTAATTTCTGATGACTTTTTTTTTTCTTCTCCCTTTTATCTTCATTTTCTTATACTCAAAACTTCATTTTCTGGCCACTAACACTAAGTATCAATCCTTAAATCTTAAACTATAAATAAATCAACTTTTTAAATACTCAATTTCTATCTCCAGGTGTGTTTATTTTCAGATTATGTTTTAAGCTTCCGGAACACAATATTCTTATTAATGAAGGCTTAAGATATTAAAGTAGTATGACAAATCAATAAAATAAAAAATAAAAATGTCTATTTAGATCTACCAGAGATAAAAAAATAAGTATTAAAAAGTTAGATTATTTATAATTTTGGATTTGTGAATGAAAATGAAATTTTGAGTATAAGAAGATAAAGATAAAAGAGAGAAAAAAAAAAGTTGCCAGGAATTATATTGAAAATTTGAGGAAGAAGATAATGAACAATAACAAAAAATACAAGTGACATAAAACGATAAATTTTTTTAATACAATTAGGGTCTTTAACAGAAAAACAAATCTATTTAAATTTTTTTTAAAAGTTAAAGAATTAAAATAAACTAAAAAAAAAGTTAAAAGAATAAAAATGAATTTTATTTTAAAGTTAAATGACAAAAAAATAATTTCAACATTTTTATACGAAGTTGAATCAACAACATGTTAAGGAAATTTTGGGTAGATATATCTCTGCTATGGGCGCAAAATTTCTTGGCACTTATCTATGTTTATGCCAATTATATATGCTTTTAAAATATTATTTTGAAATTGATAAGTTATTTTCATCACTAGTCTCCGTACCTAGACATCAGAATTGCATTATTTTCATCCACTTCACTTCCCTAGTAGACATAAGTTTTGTATTTCAATATTTTTAATACTCAGACCTTTGGATAGAAAATATACCAAGAAATATAAGGTTCATGATACATATACTACTGCAAATAGATACATATTTAATCGTATATAAAATGCAATAAGGAAATAAAGGTACAGATTAATTTTAATGTATTATCAGTGTAATTTACACTGTTAGCTAATTAAAATACATTAAAATATATTTTTAATTTAATTATTACAAAAATAGTAATTCTCACTGGTATAATAATATATGATTATAAATGAAAATGTAAATTTTTCCCTTATTACTGCAATATGATATTATAATTGAATTCAATATAGTTATAAGATAAAAATCCCATATAATTACAAAAATAGAATAAGTGTGATTTTTCTTTCTTTGAAACCATAAAAAAAATTATTCAAATAGGAGAAAGATATTAAAACAAGCATATACTTTTCTTTAGTATTACATCAATATAAACTTTTCATTTTATTTTTCTCTTTTTTTTTTCAATTTTATTCCTCCTAAAAATCTCAAATTCAAGTATATTCATTTATTTGCATCAAACAAGAGATAAAGTGTATTTGAACTAAACTACAAGGAGAAAGAATAATTTATTTGTTTAATATTTAATTATCTATAGTTTGTAAGCAGGGTGTAAAGAAGTATTGAATAATTCTAATAAAATAATAAAATTTCTAGATTTGAAGGACCAAATTTCTAGATTTTATTCTTATAATTTTGAAGGACCAAATTTTGCACTTTTTATTTATTGCTTTTAGTGTTGCCATAAATAGTAGTAATATATTCTTTAATATATTTTTTTATTATTTATTAAAAAGATAAATGTATAAGAAATATATATTAAATTAAAAATGATTTTAAAAATAGAAAGAATGAGACTTGCATAAAAAAATTTAATAATTTTTAAAAAAAATATGTTAAAGAATATTGTTAACATTTTTCTAAATTAATCGGCATTTTGTGCATGCATAATAACTCAAGATAGACACGTACACGCTGATTAAGAGCAGCATTGCAATCCAAATTCAATCATTTTATAAAAAAGTTTTAGGCATTTTTAGAGACTCTGAATTTTAACAAATACAACATCAGAAAGGCCAAAAGTTCATAACTTCAGACTTAAGAACACAGAACTAATTATAAAACAGCAGCCTCTAGTCTACATTCTTTCTTGAACTGTTTAGGCTGCATGAGGCATATGCCATTTGAATCCCTTTATGATCTGATCAAATCCATTGTCCATGCATGTTTCCTACACCTTCTAATGCCAAATGCTGTTGCTGTACAAAAAATTGGAGAGAAAGAGAGAGAGGGAGAACAATTAAAATATAGTTAAGTTTAATAGTAAATTGCTATCCTCCACAGTATATGATATTTATATATCTTTTAATTATACAATTATTGAAGCTAAAACTGGGTTCTTTATTATCATGATAAGCTGGGGCACATAAGAACTAAGCATTTGCAAATTATGGTAACAAATATATCATTACACTGGCTTGTACTTGTGTTTTATCAATAAAAAAAATGATAGAAATAGCGGAATATATATTGGCACTTACCAGAAGGAAATTGAGTTCCTTATTTTGCTCCTCCAAAATCTTGCCCTAACCAGGAATTACAAGAGTCAGTCCTTTTTATTTATTTATTATGGTGCATTTAGATAACAATTGAGATAAATTTTATTTAATGAAATTTTATTATATAAAAAATTATTTGTAAAATTTATCAACATAAATTAAAAAGAGTTTATTTTAACAAAATATATAAATAAAAAATTGAAAAAAACTAATAAGAGTTATAAATATTTTTGTAATATATATCTTTGTAAACTCTTATAAACACATCATATGTATTTTAAATAAATTTAAGTGAATGTTTAGTTTACCTTTATTTTTTTAAAACATACTGACTTGATTCCTCTAATTATCAATCTGGTATTTTATACTATGTTATTATATATATCCAAGAAAAAAAAATCTACTTACATTTCTCTTGAACATCCTGTGCACTTCCGTCTGTGACACAAATAAAAAAATTGTGAGGTGAAACTTGTTAAATTTAGTTACCAATAATAAGGTTATGATAAATATTGAAAAAATTTGCCTTTTTATCACGAACACCGTTGAGGCCATTATCAAGGGCTTCCTCTAGAGCCATAAGCTCCTTGTAATTCAGTGAGGTAATGTCCTCCCCCTTTAAGTGCCTGAAATGTACAAGTAATAGAAAATGAGAGATGAAGTTGGGTTACATATAGCTAGGGCAATCATCAAGGTGCAATGTTTGTACATACCTCAACTCAATTTGCATGCTGTCATTCTCTTTTTTGAGCCTATCAATTTCATTGCTCAGGTTCTGAGTTCAATTAAAATTGTTGTGAATCCGAACATATATTTTGTCACAAAAAGAAAAAAGAAAAAAAAGGCAAGGATGAAAAATATCTCAAAAAATAAACACTTAACTGAATCTGCAGTTAGATCTTGCTTTTAGAACTGGTTAATGTTAGTGAAGAAACGTGTGATCAAGAGATAGATCCATGACCAAGTAGATATATAGGAGAGGATATTTTATCACATCTTTGTTCCTACCATAACTACGAACTCTTATATCCATTCAGCTGTTGAAACTTTTGCAAAGAAAAGGAAGCAAGTAAATGTTGTGTTATAGCCAGATCCGTTCATACATATCTGGTGCTTTTAGCTCTTGCCTTTCTTTATCAATAAGATATGGAGAATAATATTATGTGTATATTAATCAACAAGGGTACATGTTCCAAATGTAGATCTACTTGGAAATTATCGGTTCTTGGGACTGAACATATTTTTAGCAAAACAGTTATATTCCATTTTCCTTGAGGCAAATCAATGACAAACTACTAGATGCATGCTTCAAGTTTTTTTATTTATGTATATATAAATATCTTTTTTCAAATATAAAAAACCTACCTCATGCTTAGCGTCCCAGAGTGTCTTCCCAGAGGCTCTTTGGTATCTGTCTAGGACGTCAATCAACCTTAACCAAAAAAAAGATCCAAGGAAAGAAAAAAAGAAGTGAGTTTTGTTGATAAGAAGAAAAACTATATATTTTCCTGCATTTGAACTATTTTTTATGAAAGAAAGAAAACTATAGGAATCTAGAAGGTGAAAAACAAAGGTTTAGCATAAGAAAATGAAGAAGCAATTAATTAATTACGTGGTGGAGGGACTGATGTATTCATGCATCTTTCCAGAGGCACCAAAAATGATAAGGGAAACTTGAGCATCACATAGAACACTAATTTCCTTTGCCTTCTTTAGGATCCCATTCTTCCTCTTTGAGTAGGTAACTTGCCTGTTGCTTGAGTTCTCAATCCTTTTGATCTCAATCTTACCCCTTCCCATCTCTCTTACAATTACTGACAATCTTCTTCACTTCTCCTTTTGATCTCTTTTTATCTTTTCTTTTCTATGTTTTGTGTTTCTTAATTGCCAATGGAATGGAGAAGTGGGAAGATATAAATTAAAGAGGGTATATAGCAAGCAAGAAAAGTAATAGCGGAGCATTCCATTATGAGTTTGTGGATGAACAACTTTCTGAGTGGCACAGAAAGGAAGGGTTTGTTTAGGGGTTTGTGACAAAGCCAATTCAACTGCTTTAAATTATTTCATGTTTATTTAATTTAAATTGGCTTTGTGATTTATCACTTTTGAACTTGTGATCCGTTTTCTTAACCCTTGGTTTCTTTAGGCACCTCTATGGCTCATTTAATTGGAATGGTTTTTGGGGTCTTTCCCATTTTTTAAGGGGTTTCATTGCAAGTTAAAGTGTATGTGGAATTTTAGGGTGTGTTTGTGTATATACGTAGACCAAGGTTTTGGTGCAGGTTAATTTGAAAGGATATAATATTGGTGTTTAACTTGTATTGGTGTCTATGATTAGCTCTTTATAGGGTTTGAATGACGGGTAATTGGTAACTCTAGTTGTGGGCCTCTCAACCATCAAATCGAAAGGAAATAATTATTATTCCCATTTGTGTGCAAGGAATAAAAGCTCTTTAAAGTAATGTGTAAAAGGGTATGAAAAAAAAAAACAATTAAAATGTTCCTACCATAATGGAAAGGAGAAGGCTCAAAGATTAACCTTCAAATAAATTACTGGAAGATCAAAGATACGATCATGAATTGGAGTTTGGGCAAGCATTAGTTGGCGATTCACTGAGTGGAACCTATGATTTGAAAGGTGTGGTTGGTAGAAACTATGCAACCCTCAAATCACTAGCTAGCTACGGCTGGAAGATTGCATGATATGACAAACTCAAGAGGAAGAAGCTATATCTTGCATGCTGATACAAGGAAATGTGCCTTCAATCAAATTCCGAGTCTTATTATTTACCAAAGAAACGGAATCCTATATAATAACAATTTTTTCAAAATAATATTTATACACAAAAAATCTTGTTTTGGCAATTCAATCAAATTTTAAATTTGGCCATAAATAAGTATTTTACTGACGAAACAACCATGATTTCAACAGATTCACGTACGAATGTTAATAATTAATTAAAATAGGTTTTTTTTTTTTTTTTTTTTTATCTTCTATCATAGAAAAATCTTATTGAATAGGGTGTTCCTAGCTAACATGCTGACATCCACGATATTCCAAAAGATTACTATTCAGATTTATATCAAACTCAATCTCAATTATTCAACTAACTTTTAAGTAATAGGGGATTTTTATGGAAACTCGTTTTTTGAATATTAAACTTCAACACCTCTATATCAAATATTTTTGTTTATCCTATACAATTAAAGCTAGTAAATATCATTTTTTAATTGAAAATTTAAATAAAATTATAAAAATAAATACTAAATAGTAATGAAATTACATGCCACAAAAAGAGAGTACAGAAATTATAGTTTTACGTTTACAAATAAAAATTTAAAGTAATTATATAATCGTTGATAGTTATAATATAAAGATTGGTATTATGATAAACTTTTCATGAAGACATTATTATATTATGTCTTTGCAAATTACATCATAAAATTAACTTTAAATTTGTTATGATAAAAATCATGCATAAAATAAACATACTCTTTAATACACTTTTAATTATTAATTAAAATTTATTAAAAATTATTTGAATCATATTTTTTTCTTACTCATGATTTGAGGTTTATTTCTTATATTTTGTAATTTTTAATAAATTTTAGTTAATAACTATAAATATATATATTTTTAAAATGTTAAAGAGTGTGTTCTTATCCATATATATTAAACTTTTGTGGCCTAGACTATATGCGTTGAAGTAGATTTCCTTCAATAAATAATTGAAACTTTTGTGCCCAAGGCTATATAAATGCTTGGTGCTTAAGGGGACCTTCAATTGTGTATTGGATCTTCTAGCATATTCGGTCACCGAAGGGATAGAAGAATTGGTTTCAAATTTTGAACTTTCTTGACCTAACCCATAACAAATAATAGAAATATATTTTAAGAAAATCGTGATCTCATGCATAAAATGTTTTAAAATGATGACTAATTATTTAAACGATACACATTTTAAAACCACATTAGAAGAATATAAGAGAATAAATGATAAAATAAACTACAGTTTTATACCTTCAAAATAATATGGATTGTTTTAAAATAATTGCAATAAAAAATGAAGCAAAAATTTCAAAAATACTTAATCACATAAATTATTAATAAGATAGAATAATACTAAATTTCAAAATCGATTTTTAAGAATTAAATAATATAAATATAATTTTTCATTTCAGTATTATTAGTTTATGTGAATAATTTTTATATTGAATTCCTTATTGCAACAATTATAAAGTAATTTTTATTTTTTTAAAGATACAAAGTTATCATTTATTTTACTATTTATTCTTTATATTTTCTTAATGTTATCTACCAAATATGTAATAATTTTAAGGTTTATCATCATAAAAGTTTAGTTGTAAATATGTTTATAAAATACAAAAGATTGTGTAATGTTTGAAAAATAGAAAGATTTTGGGGTAATGAGCAAAAATTGGTAGCACTTTTACCAATTATATGTAAAAAATAAAATTGAACACTGTAAAATAAGTATAACATATCTCGAAATAAATAAACATTTAAAAATAAAAGGAATTTTAAATTAAAAAAAAGTGCAAAATAGAAGGGGCTACAGGAGTCTTGCTTGTTTGGTGTAGTGACCAGTCTACCTGTGAAGGCCAGTCAAACACATAAAAATGAGATTTTGATGAGATGTTAAGAGGGAGCAGCTAGGCTTCAGCTAATGCCAATCTATATATACTTCATTTCATATACTATATAGTCTTGTTGCCTTTTTTTTTCGAATTTTTCAAGTTCAACCATTCCAAGTCAATTTCAGAAAGCTGTTCATATTAGGAAGCCCGTAAAGTTTTTGATTTAACACCATCTAATCTATGAAGCCTAGGAGATCACGCATTGTACTCAAAGATAGTTGACTACTACACTGTAGCCTCCACAGTGAGACCTGAGGATAATGGAAATGTTCCCTGCTTTCTTTTTGCATGCTACAATTTCAATGTCTCAAAGTTGCATTTCATCTTTTATATTAGATTAGATGATGGGTGTCATCCATCCTCTGTTCATTTATGGGTAGGCCTGGAATGGTAAGAACTAGAAACATAGGCAGACCCTAAAATGGAACTGAAGTAGCTGGAGAGAGATATACTAGTTAGGTCCACTTTCTCCATTTACACTGTTGAGTATTAGAGTTAGAGCCTTTTAGATGGAATTTTGTATTGTTTTCAAATGAAACTATTTCATTGATAATTATTTGTTGGAAAATATAAACTCAGCTGCAGATCACACCTTCAAAAACAATTTTTTGCCCTACCAAAGTGAAAGAAAAACAAACGATACTTTTTTTTACCACTTTTAACATGCATAGATGTGTTTGATATTGTGAATTTGAATTTCATAATTTTTTCAAAATTTAGTTTTTTCTTTTTTGGGTCCTGGTTGAAAGTGTAGTTTAAGAAGCTCAAGATAGCCATCGTGGATGAGGAAAGCAGCACCGAAGAGAGTACTTGCTTGCTTGACCTTCCACACAACTGCATGCATATAATATGAACCCACTTGACTACAGTTATTACTTCTTTGGGAAGTAAGAACAAGCTTCATCCATCGTACCATCACCACCGCCCACCGCCAACTAGAAAGAAGGAAATAATAATAATAACCTTCATTTAAAATTCAATTAAAACTGGTTATCGGTTTCCGTTTAACCCAACAGAGTTAACAACATGAAGACAAACAAGCTCAAAATTGTTTATCAAGATCATAAAACTTTGTTGCAAAATTTTATTCTAAAAGGTAAAGATCTTCAATATGTTTGTATTTTTCTAATTACCCAATATACCAATTTATATACACTCCTGCAGCTGTGCTGCTACCAGTTGTACTTTTGTACATGAAGATATATTTTATGTTAATCACAACTTTGGTTTTATATAGAGATTTATAAATTACTGTTGACCTTCTAACACTGCTAAGTTTCCATATCCAAAAGTACAAATTCCTGTTGTTGGGACGAATGATAATGCAAAATAGTGCTCGTGTCTAACGGTGTTAGATCAAAACAGACATTGGAGTCCGTTAATACGAAGAGTATTGTATAGATTTATTTTCCTTTTCATTTTACATCTTAAAATATGAAATGTCTAACCCCAACTATATTTGAAATAGCTAAAACATGATTTTAATGTTTAAGTTCAGAAAACCCATGATTATAAGGATCTCTCCAGCAAAAATCATTGCCATTCATTTACATTCAATGGTTCAGATTTCATTAAATAAGAGTAACGATTGAATTTAGCTAGAAAGAAATGGAAAGGCATTGGATGGAGAGGATCCAAATTCTGATCAGAACAGATCTCCCTACTAGTTTTAAAAATAAAAGGACAACCTTCTCTATTTTCACTTCCTTCTCTAATAGATACCTTCATACCGTCCACCTCATGTCCCCATCTAACATGCACGCCCTAGAGTCACTGCTTTGAAGATTGAATAGTGATTACATGCGTTCATTAGATATACTCATATACATGCATCAGAGAAGAAACAAAAATATATATTCTTCATTCAAATAGGTTTGATCAGAGTTTGGCGCAAAATCCAAGGTATCCAAATAGAGAGAACGGTCAAGTGTAGGTCATCACAGTATAGTGGCAGATATCTCTCATGGATTAATTAATTCCAACAGCCGCATCCTTAACAAGTTACAACTTACAACAAAATATACATACGATCAAGCGACGTGGATACAATGTCAAAAATGAAAGATCAAGTCTAATTGCTTGTATACATGCGCAGCTCGATCTCCACATCATGCTGTACATACCCATGGAGCAGTCTTCAAATACCAGCTTAAAAATCAAAACCAATTCGAAATGCTGAAGTCTCTTAACTTTCTAAGATGCCTCTCCATTTCTTCTCTGCTACTAGCCCACTCTTCCCTTTCTATGACAGTCGTGGGATCGTCTCTTTCACTCTGCAAATAAGATGGCCAATCAGAGGTGTAATGTAACGATAAATAACAAATGATTCAGGAAAGAAATAGTCACCGTGTGTATTATTTTGAAGGACTTCCCACGATCAGCTATAACAAGCAAGTCGCTCGTTCTATCTCTAGTTCTCCCTCCAGGAGCTGTTACCTGTAGAAAGCATATTGATGATTAGTGTAAATATTAACATTTTGGACAACTCAAGAATCAAGATTAACTAACAATTATCCATATTAATTAATAATGCCTGCCTAACTAAGATAGGCCGGGATAGGAGTGAGGATGTGGGGAGAGAAGAAAAAAAAGGACCCCCCTGTTTATGAGAAAGCCCTACTTAAGCACTTGTAAGCTACGAGTGAGAGATCCATGCAATGTAAAGAAATTCAATCAAGATAATGAGTTCGAACATATACACCAGAATTCTACAGGTTTGGTTGGATTCCTTTCTTTTCTTTAGACAGACATATGCAATGAAAAGTAAGGTCAATGCCAGAAACAATTAAAACAACAACCGGTTTTCAGAGACATTCTTCAAAATTAGAAAGCAACAAGTTGCAACAAACGGCAGAAGATATTCCAAAAGCAACTAAGCTGAGAATTGATAAACAATTCTTTACCAAAACTTTGGCTCTGGTAATTGACTTGGTTTTGGAATCAATAACATAAATCTCTTCAAAATCTAGCACAAATTCAGGATCACCCAGCCTCCGATTTTTGTAGTGTTTTGTCAAGTACACCTGTAACAGGAAAGAAGTTCGATCAGGGAGAAATCTTTGGCAAAAGAAGGGCATGCTTTCAGTAACTAGGTTAATTTCTTTTTTCCAATGCTTGGACTGCTTGGCAAAAATTTCTAATAAATATCCCTGTATTATGAAACCTACAGGGAAAGAGGTAAGAAATTATTACCATCCTCAGGGACGGGCAAAATTTTTTGCCATGCAGTCAAAAGCCAGATTAGAAATTTCATAGCTTGTAGCAGATACTTATGAATAGAAGCAGGAATAAAGACTCCACGATGGCATACAGATGAAAAGAACAAGATTTACCAGCCTCATCAATTCATATAACATCTAAATTTCCTACAACCTAGCCTAAAGCAATAAAGTTAGATATGTCAATGTTTTACCCAACTGACAATATGGAATGTCATCTCTTAAATCAAAGCGACATGTCAAGAATACCTGTCCTAGTTATCCGATACATAAACAGATAAGCATATCAATTGAGTTCCATTCCATCTGTTATATAAACTTAATAAATCACTACCTCACTCAAATAATGTTATCAGAGCAATTATCCATTGTCCTAATTCCTAAAGCACAAAAAAATAAGTCAAAATATACTTCCAAATACTAGTTATTGATCCTTTTTTTCAGTGAATCATAATTATGAACAAGAACTAGAATAAACAAATCAATTAATCAATCAGAATGCGGCTAGGCCCAGGGGCAAGATACTTCGCTGGTAATGAATCAAGCTCATGCATAAGGCAAGACTAATTCATTTTATCTCACCCTCTTTTACCGATAAGTGGGAAAAAAATCAACTCAAGTAAAGCTCGCTGCCTGACTGGATTCCATGGGAGGATTGTTCAGTTATATTTCGCAATTCTCGATACAAATTATAAAACACGCAATCATTGAAGCAGCTACTTTTACTCTTCCCTTAATAAATATCCATTTCATATCACCAATTTACATTAGATTTAGTATACAAACAGAATTTTAAGAAGCATAATAATTCACGTAATCCCTCCGTTTCTTTTTATCTGTCAACTTTTTAAAGATTTTTTTTCAATTTATTTATATATCCGTTTAGAAGTTCAAGGCAATAATAACTGCTTTCTTTCAACTTTGCCTTTATTTCTACTAATTCTTAGATACTTTACCCACTTAAGATAAATTAGAGGGAAATAACAGTAGAAGTAATATTCGGAAGTTAACAATATTTTTTTTAATATAAACAAATATATTAATGGCATTTCTAATCTGTGTTATTCTCCTAAGTGAACTGAATAAAAAGAAACAGAAGGAGTATTGCTAAATCCTCAAATACAAGAGTAGCTCATACCTTCAGGATCTCCCTCTCGGTTTTATAGAGGGGATCTCGAGGTGCATCAATAGGTGGCTCTGTCACATTGTAGCTTCCAAAATCACTTTGCGCGCATCTAATGTACTACACATTTGTGCAAAAAAAAATATCATCAATATACGTAAATGCAAAGAGAAAAAAACAACAAACAATTTGGTTGAAACGAAACTCACCTTCTGAGGCATTGGAGCGAGAACCTTGGGAATTGAATAAACATCCGTATCTGGAGGAGTAACATACATCTACAAACAAAGATTCAACAGTGAACAAAAATTGAACAGTAGCACCAGCATAAAGATACGCAGATTGGAAGGGTTACGAACCTCTCTGAAATCATAGACGTCGTTGTCAGGGTCAGGGGGCTTGCGAATGAAGAAATCGCAATCGAGCAAGCTGATCTTGTGGAACTCATCTTCGTTGATTTTGTAGTCGACGACGGTGTCGGAGTCCCAACCCTGCGTGGAGACGAAGCTCTCACTCCGCACCATGGCAATGTCGTCGTCGTCGACGGAAGCGGCGGGGACAAGGGGGTCGTACTCGACGTCGAAGTCCTTTTTGTTGTCGAGATCCTCCATTTCATCTTCGTCCATATCGTAGTGGTCGGGGCCGGCGGCGTCGGTGTCGTCGTCATCGGCGCGAGTGAGGAAAGGGTTACGGCGAGACCTAGAGAGAGGATGGGTGAGAAGAGAAATTTTGGAGAGTGGTTTGGGTGTGAAAGGGAAAAAGGAGTGTGGTGGTTGGGAATTGCGAGAGAGGAATGGTGATGGGGGAGATGAGAAGAAGAAGAAGGTTGAGGCAGTGGTAGTAGTCATAGTGGGTTTTGAGGGTTTAAGGAGAGAGATGGTTCGTAACTGAAACTGAAAGAGGATAAGATAGAAGCAAAAGTGCCCGGTGTCATCAAATTTTTGTACCTGCTGTCTTCTTGGCTTTACAAAATCCAGTCTTTCATTGCTAAAATATGGTTTATTGGTTCATTTAGTTTTGATTATTTTAATCATGGTTTTTAAGCAATTTTGATAAAATATGTTAATTATTTTATACTTTTTAATTATAATTAAATAAAATCAAGCTATTGATTTAAGCTGCATGTCCAACATTTTTTTATTTTGAAAAATTAATGCTTTTATCATGTTTAACAATTAAAAATTTAATTTTATCTTATGCAACTTTAAATCAAGAATTTGATTTAATAATAAATACTCCAGGTAAGCACAGTTACTTGGTATTGTTTTTAAAAAAAGCTCTTAAAAGTCCTATAAATTTTTAAAAATGTTCAAGATTTAGTATTCACAAATTTATACACATAAGTTTATTTTAAATCTTCCATGTGTACAGATTTTTTAATTACTAAATACAAATTTATTAAATATTTTTATTTTAATATATATATATATATATGTGTGTTTCTTTATTTAATATTTACTTTAAAAAAATTAATTTTAGTTTGTAAGCTAACTCAATTTAATCTAATTCATTGATGAATTTGGTTCTAAAAAATTAAGTTCGCATAGTTCACTTAGTCTATATATATGTTTCTTTATTTAATACTTACTTTAAAAAAATAATAATTTTAGTTTGCAAACTAACTCAATTTAACCTAACTCATTGATGAGTTTGGTTCTAATCGCATAGTTCACTTAGTCTATAAATTATAGAGATTTATTTTACTTTATAAGTTTAGTCAATGTACTATTAAAATATAAATAAAAAAAAACCTTTACTCAAATGAGTGTATAAATATCAGTAGAAGAAATATTGATGTTTTTAAATAAGTAAACTCTATATTAGTTTTTAAGTTTATAAGTGTTAAGTAAATTAATCTTTAAAATATTTAAAAAAATTAATCAATCTTTGATTTTGTCAAAATGTCAAACACTCTAGTCAAATTAAGGAATTTTTGTTATAAAGTTCTTAACTTTTATCGTTAATTGATGTTTAAAATATTAAAATAATGTAGTTTACACAATTTTACAGACTAATCTCTTCAATTTTAGTCACTATCATTATTATTATCTCTAACAATCCGTTCCCTTTATTACCTCCATAGTGTTCTAGTCGCCATTGACACCTCCTTCACAAACCTACTTCTTATAATATCACATGCCTTAAAGTTCTCCCTCCCCACCTTCTCTCTCCTTAAAGTTGTGAGCCCCTCGTGGTGGTATGTGCAAATGATGCTAATCGCATTATTCTAAACTTATGTCCATAACCAAAGTAAAGGAAAGGTCATAAGGAAAACAACAACAAGGGGATCCACAAGTATGCTAAAGTTTCTCTCCTTCCTTCGTCTTTTTTATCTTGCCATAAATTTATGTTCACCCAAACTTTAATTTAATCTCTCTCGTATGCAATATCACTTCTCCTCACGGTGTGAGCTTGACGTTGGAAAATAAGAATCATTACGCTAATAATATGAGACAAGTTTGAGTGCAATGTATTCAAAAGATGAGCAAGGGCTTGAGGGTAGGGAGAAGTGCAGGCAACAAAAATGGAAGGTGAACGAGTAGACATAGGAGTCATGTGAAGGAAGGGGCTTGAGGATAGGAAAAAGTGCATGCAACAACAATAGAGTGTGGATGAGTAGACATGGGAGTCATATGGAAGAAATGAATGAGAAAAATGGAGAGGAGAAAGAACATAGTATCATAGGCGACTAAGACGTAAAATGAATAAAAATAACATTGTAGGAATGAAAATGATATAATTTTATGATAATAAAAAGAAAAATGGGCTTTTTTTCAGAAATGCAGCCTTTTCATAATTAAATTACGTATGTACCCTAAAAAACTTTTTTTTATCGAAATGTCATGAAACTTTAAATTAAAGTCGATTACAAACGACTTCAATTTCAAATTTGATTTTACTGTTGTCTCTAATTGAAGTCAACTTTAAACGATTTTAAACTTGTACAAAAGTCGACTTTAATCAACTTTTATTTTTCATTGAAATCGATTATAGTCGATTTAGGTTGCTGATATAAGCAGGCCAGAGAGAAGGATTGAAGAACAGTGGAGACAGTAAAAATAACGGAAGATGGATAATGATTTATATCAACTTAATTTTGTTGATCATATTACCAGTAAGCTGTTAATACAGATAAATTAATTTTTAAATATATTTAGTTGATTTATAATTAGTTATTTTTGTATGTAATTTAATATATTATTAATTTTGTAATTATATATTTAGAAAGATGTATAAATGTTAATATTATGTTGTAAATTAATTATAGTTGTTTGTTATAAATATAATTATTATATTGAGGAATAAAAAAAAATTCTATAATATATTTATAATTATTATGATAATTGATTTTTTCATCATAGTAATTTATAATTATAATAATTTTCTTATAATGTTTTCATTTAAATATTGTATATATTATTTTGTTATTGCACAAGAAGCTCAAATTTTAAAAAGTAAGCATTATAATATGATGATTCCTCTAGATTCAAGAATGGAACCATTTCTTAGGCAAATTAGTTTTTGGCATGTTGCACAGATGGTTCCAGTATTTGATTATGATAGGACACTCATAAGTGCACTTGTAGAACGTTGGAGACCTGAGATACATACATTTCATTTTTCATATGGAGAATGTACGATCACTCTAGAGGATGTTGTGTTTCAGCTAGGCTTATGTGTGGATAGAGTCCTTGTGAGTGGTTGCATTGGAGCGTGGAGAAATTTTATGAACGACATTGTGTAAAGATTTACTTGGAGTAGTTCCTGATGAGAGTAATTCGTAAATTTACAGTGGTTTTTAGATACATTTGAAGCATTACCTCACAATGTTGATGAACAAACTATTATCCGTTACACTAGAGCGTACATAATGATGATATTTGGTGGGATATTATTTCCAAACAAATCAGGATTTAGGGTTCATATGAAGCGACTACCTCTTTTAACTAATTTTATTGAGATTCCAAACTATGGTTGGGGTTTTGCTGTGCTAGCATCCCTTTATCTTGAGCTTTGTCGTGCGGTGAAATACAATGTCACCGAGATTGCAGGTTGTTTTCCTCTTCTACAGTCTTGGGCATGGTATAGAATACCTCAGTTAGTCCCTAGGCACCATCATCCATTCATTTTTCCATTAACATTGAGGTACAAATTAATTCTATCAATATATTATTTTTTTGTTATTTATATATGTTAATTTTGCAAGTAATTGTTATTTATGCCCATTTCAGGTAGAAAAGTTATAGGTTATTGACGAGATCAGATACGGATAAATTATTGCAATATAGAAGGATCATTGATTTAATTGACATTACTCGGGTAAGTTTAAATAAGGTGTATGTTACTAAATTATTTTGTTATTTTTTTGTCTAATATTTGTTATTTATTATTTCAGTTTAGATGGATGCTCTACAGTAATAATGAGATCAAGATTATTACACCTCCTTTCGTGTATGATGAGGCTGATGTTTGGGTAGCTGTGACTGCTCTTATACAGCTTACTGTGATTGAGTGACACCCTCACCCTATTGATTGCGTGGTTTGACAATTTGGTGGAGCACAACATACCAATCAGCCCGATAAATATTGATTGATTGATTGCATGCTAAGGATGAGAGGGGTGATTTAGAGATATGGTGGCCTGATTATCACCAAACATGACACGTTACATGGGAGGCACATAAGGAGCAACGAGTTCAATATCCTCTAACTAATGATGATCGTCCCTCTGTCGAGTATTTCCAGTGGTATTTGTCAGTCACTGATAGATTTTTGTCATTGGAAGGAGCCCCACAGAATCCAGAGCTTAGGAACTTGCTTGATGGTGTAGCACTACATGCTCCTCCAGCAGCTGACATTACACACCCTAATGATGTTACAGATAGACGTTTTTTTAGCTGTCGTTGCGTGTAGGTATACGTGCTAGTAGACGCCAATACCCCAATGAGGCGCATATACCAGCCAAACCCTCAGCACATGATATACAACCTAATGCATATCCCACTGTACAACCTATATCACACCACGTATACCACCTGACACCCATATACCCTAACCAGCACTTCATGTCAGGACTTAGCCAACAATAATACATGTCTGGCCCTTATCAGCACCAGTTCATGCTAGGCCCTAGCCAATCATATATGACTCCCAGCCAGCAGTTATGGCAGGTCCTAGTCATCAGTTCATGTCTGATTCTTTTCTTACTCCAAGTCCTACGCAGCATTTTGTCACAGGTCTAGTTCGGAATGATATTGCACAATATATATCTTTCAGTCCACATTTCATTTCAAATGCTGAGGTTACGACATGGCTACATTCATCTGAGACATGTGCACCAGTTCAAGATATTCAACCACCAAATTATTTCTATCGACCATCGCCAACGCATCAGGAGGAAAAAGATGAGCTAGATGACCAGGAGGAAGAAGCAAATGACCAAGATGAGCCACAGGAGGAAGAAGTCGTACATCATAGACCAGTGCGACAGATTATACATCGTCGCTGTGCAACAGGGAGTCACATCGCTGGTCCTAGATGTAATAGGCGTGGCTCATAGTGTTTCAAATCAATTTGTATTGTTTTAATTATGCACTTTCATCTTTTTTTTTTTTTATTCAAGCATGGTAGTGTAAGACATTTATGTTTAACTTGCTTTAAGTTTTAATGTAATTTGAAAATTATCATTTTTATATATGATTAGTTTAGCTTGGTTAAATAAATCGATTTGTGGTAGACAATAAGCCCATAGAAAATATATATTCGTTAGGGAAAAAGGCGATAAACAACATATATACTGCAACAGATATACTGCAACACATTAAACTTAACACCAAGAATTTTTTTACAACATAACATAGTAAATCAATTTTTTTACAACATAACATAGTAAACTCATAGTGTGACCGGTGCCTCTAAACAATCCACATCATTTTCCCTGGCTCAAACCATTTTCATCCATTTCATTGTGAAACCTCGTTGAAATCGGCTGACCCTTAAGACTTTACTTAAGTGTAGGATTTGGTCGTATAGGAAGGCCAGTATATGGTGGCCATATATCTTCATTAAGAATTAAAGATGATTGTGCTTTGTACACATTGAACATGGACTCAATGGTGTAAACATCATGAACAAAAGAAGTTCAATCTCTTCGAGCATCAAAGCATGCAGCGAGTGCATAACGACATGGATAATGTAACTTTTTGAAATTCTCCACAGTTACACCATCGCTCTGTTAAATGCACCCTGAATTTCCGTTGACCACAACTTCCCATGTTATCTCTTTCAAACACCAAGTATTCTAATGCATCACGGGTTACTCGAGTGATACTTATATTCCCAAAGTGTTTCCTATGCTCCTCAATTGCATTTAACAATGTCTGTGAAAATATTTTGTCACTAGCAAGTTGCATCTTTGCCTTTGTTCCCTTTTTTATGAACAACTCAATAAGACGATAATACGTTGACTTAACTATGGCTGTAATAGGAAGATTACGAGTATCTTTCATGACCGCATTCATATACTCTGATAGATTAGTAGTCATGTGCCCAAAGCGACGACCCTCATCAGCATATTGAGCCCACTTTGCACGCAGTATGTTGTTAGCCCATGCACACATCGCGGGATCTACATTACCCAATGCTCTAAAAGCAGTACAAGAAATAATGTTCAGTCTTTGCATATGCTGCATTCAACAACAATCGTTTTGCATCTTTGTTCTTGAACTTTATTGCAAAATTTAATACAATGTGTCGCAAACAATATGCATAATAGGTTGAAGGATGCCACCCACTATCTGCTGCTTCTAGAGTTGCTTTGATAGCATGATTCCTATCAGATATGACAAGTATGCTCTCTTGTGGTGTCACATGCTGACAAACATTTCTAAACAAAAAAGAGCATGCTTTTTGGTTTCTCCCTCCACCACTGCAAATGCTACTGGCAAGATATTTGAGTTGCCATCTTGGGCAATTGCCATCAATAATATTTCACTATACTTGCCATACAAGTATATCCCATCAATTGAAATCAATTTTTGCAATATTTGAATGCCTCTATGCATGGTGGATAAGTCCAGAAAAGACGATGAAACATAAAGCAACCATAATCTACAACATCACCAATATAGTATTGTCCAATTTGCATTTGAATAATAGTACCTGGCATATAAGACTGCAAACCACTCAACCATCTTTGAAGTTCATTATACGATTTTTCCTAATCTCCATATATCATAGCAATAGCTTTCTGTTTGGCGAGCCACACTTTTCTATATTTTGTCTTGAATCTCAACTTTGACTCAACTAATGCTTGTAGAGCTTTGATTTTTATTGTCAGATCTGCTTGGATCATAGGGTATATGTAGGTACAGATAATATTATAATTCATCTGAGCATGTTGATTCATAGACTCTGAAAAAACACATGTGTGTGGTCCTGTCAATTTTTGCACTTCCCATAACTGCAATTTTTGGCAGAAAGTGACACATATACTCCAATTACAGTCAATGCCAAACTTGATACACTTGCAATAAAATTTTATGTGATCAGATTCATAAACTTTATACTGAATACCTCTTCGGATGCTGTAATTTTTAACAGCAAAAGTCACTTTATTTTTAGAGTAAAATACTAGACCAAGTGACAAATCACTATCTCGGCCTACCCTTGAACTTGAACTAGACTCACTCATATTATAATGCATTGTAGCTAAATCAATTGTTGAGTAGTGACTAGCATGATGTCGAGCTTGAGATTGAGATTGAAATTGAGATAGCGAAATCAAATGTTCATCCAAATTCTGCACATTACACAACTGTTCATCTTCATCATCGTCAATGTCCTCTTTTTCATCATTCTCAGTATCCTGTTGTGCACAACAAAATCAAAATCTCTGACCAAGCTACCTTGTCTCATTTCCTATGGATTAAGAGATATTGGATTTTCAATGTCTCTAACAAAGTGCTCAAAACTTGGAGAACCTACCTCATCATATGAATTGTGCATGTCATGGTGGGACATCTCAACTAATGGATCTGCATTTGATACAGAAGGTGATAGATCTGGGACAAAGTCTCCAGAGCTAAAATGATCACCTTGTAATTCGACAAAAAGCTCTATTGTACGAGCTTTAGCAAATGAGTTAAAATAACTAAGCATGTGATCAATGTGCTCATCTTTCTGTATTCGCCACCTTTTATATCGAATACCATTTGGCCCAATATCAACCAGTATCTTGTAGAAAACCTTTGAGACTTGTATATTGTTTCCCTCATACTCCTCCAATATTCAACTCTCTAACTGTAGAAAAGTAATTAGGAGACAAACAACTAACCAAGCTTGATAGTCGCTATGAAACGTCTCTCCCTTCACTATGTGTACAATCTCACCATTATAATATATAAGCACATGAACATCATTCTCTCCCATTTTATTGAAAATGCACTCAATTGGTTGATTTTTCGAATGATTTGATGCAATCTCTGCAAGCTCTGTTTATTTATAAGCGAAGATGAATGGAATAATAATTGAAAAACTGAAATCTATTAAAATAGACTTCTGCACATATTGAAAGTCGATTTAAATTGACTTCTATACTAGGCCTGACCCAAATTCACATAAGTCGATTAAAGTTGACTTCTTAATAAGTCTTAAATTATTGAAAGTCGCTTAAAATTGACTTCTGATTCAGAATAATTCCAAATTTTAACCAAAGTCGATTAAAATCAACTTCAACTATAATATTTTTAGGACAAATTTGTAAACTTTTTTAAAAGAAGACATTTATGTAATTAATTTTTAAATTTATTTTATTTACGTAAAAAATCTAGAAAAATGATGCTATTTTAGTATCTAGTGTTATTTAAAAGCAAAAATTAGCACTTTTATGATAGAAATCGTTAGTTAGACAAAGTTAAAAAATATCTATTAAAAATCTTAAAATTTAAAACTAATTTATCACATTCTTAAACACTTAAAGACTAATATAAGAATTTTCTCGTTTCTAAATTATTAGTTATATAATTTACTAAAAAATATCAATAATTTATGGTAAAAGCTTATTGGAAATTTAAAAACAATTTTTTGTCATTTTTTTATTTTTTAATATTTTTTATAATTTATTTTACAAAGTAAGCTGATTAATTAAAATGTCTCATTTTATAAGAAATGAAAATATTTTAAAAATATATAAAAGATATAACCAAATTCTAATTTACCGTGCACGTGCACTAGTGAAACATGAGTTATTGCATATCTATTTTTGCAATTAATGTTCATTAAAAAATAAGAGTGGTTGAAAGATAAAACAAAAGAAAAAGTAAATATAAATATAAAATAACTGGTTAAATTGGAATTCATCATAATCATGAAAAGAAAAGTCTTAAAAATTAAAAATAACAAAACTTTTGTAATAAAAGAATAAAATTTAAACAGTAAAAATAAGAAATGGACGAAATATTATTATTATTATTGTTATATCTTAAATTTCTAATAAATTAGAATAACTACTGTGTTTCTTCTTGTCTTTGTATTTTGGGCTACATCCGTCTTTTTATCTCAGGACAAGATTTGAATGATTATGATGCTTGTTATGGTAGGTCAAGCTGGCCCAACGGAGCAAACAAACCTTAATGAACTAACCTGTTTCAGAATTACTATTTTGGACGCAATCAACATACATTCTTTTCCTCCCATACTTGCACTCTTCCTGCCATGTGACTCCACCAGTGGATTTTTAATTTTATAGCAAACGCTTCATAGAGTAAATGAGTTTAATTTGGACACATTATTGATGGTTTTTTTTTTATATTATCAGTGAATTAAAATACATGATAAAAATAATTATCATAAAAATTAATATTTTTTATTAATATAATATTTCATGATTAAATAATAGCATACGTAATTTTACTCTAATGCATGCACTCTCTTGTAACTGTAAGTTTAAAATATTATTGTTATAAAAACAATTAAAAGAATTATACTCTCTTGAATGAATCTATTAATATATTGTGAAAAATGCTACTATAAAGCAAAAGAAGATCCAGACTCCTATAAAGGTAAAGAATTAGGTTCCACTCGAATTGGTCGAATTATTAAGGTATGTAATTGTCAGGGAAAAAACGGTATTTTGATCTATTTTGGGTTGCATGACCCGGCCCGTATGATAAACCCGACCCAGTTTTCTTTCCCTCCCTGATTTTTTCTCGGAAAAGAAAGAGCAGGAAATTTTTTACGACCAAACTCGAATTGCAGTTAAAAGCCTCAGAGCCACACTTCGCTAATTCAATTATCTTTTATTTCCGTTAATTAATTTTGGAATCCCGCGCAATCACTCGGAAGCAAGCAATTCCCTTGTTCTCTCAATCTAGGGCTTACACTTTGTTTCTCCTAATTTCTCATCCAATGTTTCTCTCTTACGCCCTAATTCTCGAATCTTCGTATCAATAAATTGAGCCCCGATGACTGAGGAGAAGAGAGCTTCGTCGTCGTTCGTGAAGAAGGGTGACCGGCAAATGTTCACGGTGGAGCTCCGGCCAGGTGAGACCACCATAGTGTCATGGAAGAAACTGATGAAAGATGCTAACAAGTTTAACGGATCCACTTCGGTTCCCCAACACCCTGTAATCGCTCCGGTGAGAATTTGCTTCCACCGCACTCTGTTTCTTTCTTGATGTAATTTCTGAGTGCATTATTAATTCGCACCCTTAGGGTAATTCTTTTTAGCATTCTGTGTGATATTTTGCATTGTAGTGGAGTGTTATTTATGGATCGATTTTTGGTTTCGAAAGGGTTTTGTGGCAAACTGAAATTGTTCTTTAAAGCCTTCCTATTTGACTTCAAATTCTTTAGTTTGAACAGAGTTATTATGTACCTGCTTACCTTAATGTATGTTCCTATTTCAGTGTTTACTGAACGTGATGTAACTTATACGAGTTGCATAGATGTAAAGCGATATCATTAGAGTGGTAAAAGGTGAAATAGGACTGTAAGAGCAATTGATGTGTGACTTGATTCTTGATATTTTAGCGAGGCTAACTAGTGGCAACTGGCAATTATATTGGTTCATATAGTACATCAATCAGTATTATTTGCAGGGTTTTCCCCCCATTGAACAAGCATCTGATTATTTATTATACTTCAGGTGTTGTTCTTCCTTTAGTGCATATTTGCATCCGTGTGCCTTAGAATATTGAGAATTTTCTGAGCTCATTTTTACGTGTCTATTTATAGATATGTCTAGACTACCCCTGATCTGATAGAGTCTTTAATATTTGGGAATCACGTAAGGCTAAGGTGTAGTAGTTAGTGGGTGTGACTTGTAAATATGCTGTACTTCACTAGTACGTTGTACGTTGTATGTTTTTTTTTTTTTTTTTTTTGCTTCCAATTCCTTTGTTTTAAATTTATTCTCAAAATTCTTAATTATGTGGTATATGTAATTGATCTGTTTTTTTGTCACATAATTATATTACATATAAGATGTCATGGTAACCAAGGCTTGAATTTTCCAGGTTAAGTTCTCTTGTTTTATGCTACAGTTTTTTCCCATCATTTATTTTATAGACTCTTGTATATGGTATACCATTGTAAAATTCAGTTTGTTGTCATTTTGAAAATAATGTCTTGTCTTATGCTTCACTATTTTCACAAGTCTCTGCCCATCTCTTTTTAGGGACAACCTGTTGAGGTTGAAGAAAAAGATGCTCCAAACCGTTTCAGTGCTGTAATAGAGAAGATTGAACGCCTTTACATGGTATTTGTATATTTCTTGCTGAGATTATTTCTAAATGCTGTGTATCAGCAGCATGAATCAGTTCTTGAACCATTGATTCATATTGTAGATGCATGTTCAAGTATTAATTTGTACCTTCTATGTTGTCAACAAATGGGATGTGAATCATTTTCAGGGTAAGGATAGTAGTGATGATGAGGATCTGCTTGAGGTTCCTGATGATGATCAGTATGATACCGAAGACTCTTTTATAGATGATGCTGAACTGGTTCGTATATTTGGATAGTTTTTGGTTTATTTATGACTCTCTTGACCTTTGATTGCTGAGACAGGAATGGTATTGTTCTGTATGATGGACTTTTTATTGTTTTTATATTTCTTAATTTATGCTCTTAAACTGTTCATTCTGCAGGATGAATATTTTGAGGTTGATAATTCTGCAATCAAACATGATGGGTTCTTTGTAAATAGGGGGAAATTGGAACGCATGTAAGTCTTGCTTTGTTTTAAAAAATGTACTTTTGAATATGTTCTTTGCAAATTACTTATTTGTTGATCCTTTTTTGTTGCTGTGGTGGTTCTTTTGTTATCGTTTTATTGTATTTGCTGTCAAATAACCTCTGTTTTTACTTTCTAGTTGGCTCAAATTATTCATCAGTTGTAACTTTTTACTTTTTTGGATTCCTATCAGCATGCTTGTCTTTATTAAATAATCTGGTGTTGTAACTTGTAAGTTCTTTATTTGTGTTCTTGACGACATTTTTAACATTTTCTTGTGGCTTATGGATAAACACTCTTTCCTTTGACACTTGACTACATATTTTGCAGTGATTTAATGAAAATATTTAGTTGAAGATTGGAATAAATTTATTTAGTCTAACAAATTATGAATTATTCTTACTGATTTGATGTTGTTTCTGTCTGTATTACAAGAAATGAACCTCCTGTACTCCCTAACCAACAGCCAAAGAAAAGGCGCAGAAAAGATATATTGAAGAATCCTGGTGAAAATAATGATGATCGTGTGTCAAATAAAAATGTAAAAGTTGGCAAGCCAGCATCTGGGAAAGCAGCTTCACTCCAGGCAAAGAGTATGTTCAATTCCTCAGAAAATTTGGTGGCACCTAGTGAACATTATGATGAAGACTTGAAACTTCAGAATCAATTGGATGCCTCTGGCATTGTTTCAAAAAAGAAAGCTGCAGATACTAAACCAATATTGGACCCATCTGTCTCTTTGAAAGCCTCAAGCGATGATGTTTCTGTCTCTGTGACAGAAGCAAAAGATGCTGACAAGCAGAAGATAGGAGCTTTTCAATCTAAGAATATTAGTGATAAATATAGAGATGCAAGTGGATCCTTTGATGGATCTCATCAGAAATACAATGAAAAAATTGCATATGCACATTCCAAATCCCAACCTGGAAGACCACCAAGTATTAATGATTTGGAAAATATCAGTCGGTCAAAAGAAAAAAATGGTATGCGTGAACTGCCAGATCTTAACTTGTTGTCTGAGGGGAAGTCTGCTACGCAAGCAACAGTAAGTTTTTATTTCTTTTGGTTTTCTAAGTCTCCCTTTTTTTAAAATTTGATAAATAGTTGAAAGAAATAAATGATACCAAAAAAAGGACCTCTGCGCCGCAGTGCTTTCAGAAATTCTTTTTTGTTATAAAACAAAAGGGTCCTCCCTCTCTAAGTCTCAAATGCTTTATGATACGTTCAAATTTCAACAACTTTCTTCCAAATCAGCATTTCCTTCCTAGAATCACTTTCCATTTCAACTAAGAGGCCAAGTAACTAAAAGCATTGATTTTAATCACAAGTTTCAAATTTTTGCTTATGATCAAAATGTTTTTTTATCACTTTGATTAATTGTCCGAACATACCAGCTTTTTTAAAAACAGCTTCTATTTTTGGAAAAAGCTTTTTCTCCCAGATATAATCTAATCCAAACATGTTCATGTTGTGTGCTAGACGAAATTAGAGCTGAATTCCCCAACAAAGAGCCAATGTGTATGGCAAAAGAATGTGCATTGCTGAATCCTTTTTCTTTTTGCACGAAGGGCAACAATCACATGGAAGTTTCCATGTGGATGTTTAGCAATAAGCATGATTTTTCATTTGAAATGACAGTCACTTAATTTAAAGGATACTGGCATACATGGGATAGGGCATATTATTATATTGAAAAGGAATTGAAAGGACATAGTAAACTTTCCCTTAACCAATGCTTGGTAAACTATACATTTTTTTCTTCCAATTACTGTGGCAGTGATCGTGAAAGTTGTGCATATGGATTGAGAATATGGGCTCAAATGGGGCCAAGCCCACACACTATGGAGAGATTACACTACAAGAAAGAAGAAATGTATAGGCAAAGAGAGTGATGTGGCAGAGAGAGATGAAAGTGATATGCTGAGTAAGGAGGAGTCCGTTATAGTGGGACTGGTGTGTGAGAGAGGGGTATTTTTCAGAATCAAGAAGTTGGTTATGGATGGAGAGCACTAGCTCTTTGTAGGAGCCTAGCTCTGTGGCAGGAATACTCATTCTATTGATTTTCCTTTATATCAGTTAAAATGTTCCACGTTAGCTAGGACTAGAGGTAGAATACTCCTTTTAAGGGATAGGGTAGTTTTCCTCCTATGAGCTAGCTTTTTGGAGGGAGTTAGACCCAAATTTCTTAACAATATAAATAATACCAGCATCATTTCCTCTGTTTCCCTTGTTTGAATTGTTTAATTTCCCTGTTGGTTTTATTGGTTTGCATCATTATGGAATGCTATGCATGGTGAAACTGTATTTGTGCTATAAGTTCCTATCTTGGTCATGATTTCATTTGTATTTATGCAGAAATATGAAAACATGCCCAAGAAAGATGGTTCTAGTGCTAGGCCAAAAACTTCAATGCTTGAAAGGGCTCTTCGTGAGTTGGAAAAAATGGTTGCAGAATGTAAGATTTGAAATTTATGTTCACATTTATAATGGATAAGAATTGTGAAATGTTTGTTTCTAATGCTAAATTTTTCTTTTCTTTTCCTTTGATCCTTCTGAATAATATTACAGCTAGGCCACCAGCAGTGGATAATCAGGAGGCTGATACTACATCCCAGGCAGTCAAAAGGAGGTTACCAAGAGAAATAAAGTTAAAGCTTGCTAAAGTTGCTAGACTAGCGGTACTGAAAAATGCTGCTTTCTTGATTTTATGTTTCTTAATATACACACTATCTATACTGTTTACTTGGGGGTTTTGGACTTAGTAATAATAACTATATGTTTTTGTTGCTACAGGCAAGCCAAGGGAAAGTGTCCAAAGAGTTGATTAACCGTCTTATGAGTATTCTTGGGCATCTTATTCAGCTCAGAACATTAAAGGTATTGCAGGCTGTTAAATGTAAACAGATAACCCTTTAGTTTTAACTGTGTTGGATTCCAAGCTGAATCTCTCCCTCTGGCTCTTTTAGCTGACATATAAAGTTGAAATCCAAAAGTTATACAGAGTGGAGACTTGAGTGTGCTTGTTTTTCTCTCAAGTCCCTGTCCACAGTTGGTGCCATTTGTTTAATTTTTTAATTAATTTAATATTGATATATGATTTAAACAGAGATATGGTTTGAGTGCATTCTTGACCTAACCACAAGCAAGTTTAGTTAAGATTGTTGATTGAATGACTTACTAATTATTGACTTGAAAAAAAAAAAAGGGCCAACTTTTCTTTCCCATTTCCCTTTTGTTTGAGCACTTTAATGTGGGGTGACTATGACGCAATGACAAATTATCTCTAAATAAATGATAGTGCTTTGCCAATTTTTATTTCAATTAAAACTGTTCTCATGAAAAATAAAAATTTCACCTCTAATTTTTTTCTCCTTTTTTATCTCATAGTATCTTGACAATTTCTGTAACTGCTATTTGTTGTTCTTGTTCATTGTAGTTTAGGTGTATTTGGTTTCTCTTAATTCCTGAAACTACTTTTCTTATCATACAATGTTTTTCTACGACAGAGAAACTTAAAAATAATGATCAATATGGGTCTGTCAGCAAAACAGGAGGAGGATGATAGGTTTCAACAGATAAAGAAGGAAGTTGTTGATATGATTAAGATGCAGGCCCCAATTCTGGAATCCAAGGTTTGTTGTAGTTTCCCTTGTTATATTACACTGTTTATCAAATATTGTTACACTGGCTTAAATGTGTTGCATTTTCACTAATGTTCAATTCTGATGAGGTCACAATGCCTCCAGTATAGAGCCTGAGATGGCATCTTTAAAATTATTTGTTGTATCTGTCAGCATCATTTGATATTTTCTTTGGTGTTTTTATGTTTTGCATGTTCTCCGTCAATGTTTAGCCTTGCTGGTTCATCATTATTGTTTTTGTTTCCATCATGATAATTCATATTATGTCTCCTGTCAACCTTTCTATTGGATGCTTCTCTTAATGGATTGAATGCAATGTAGCATTGCACTGCAAATACTAGTTATGGCAAGCTTACTTATGGATCATTTTCCTGGAAAACAGATTCGATTGGTTTTAGTTATGATACTCAATTGTGTTCTCTTTTTATATTTTTTAATGTTTACACTGTATCTTGATATTCAATCATATTTTTGCTTAATTGACATTTTCTTCATTTACTTTTGGATCATGTGGTGCTTTTGGGGCACTTCAGCAACAGCAGAAAGCTGGAACATCTGGTGATTTTCAAGAATTAGGTCCTGATGGAAAAGCAATAACTAAAAGGAAGTTTAGTATGGATGCTGCATTGGAGGACAAGATCTGTGATCTTTATGATCTTTTTGTTGACGTACAGATTTGATCTATAGTTATTTGTTTTGAAATTCAGTTGTTTGTGATAAAGTTTTCTTATTGAATCTTGTTTTCAATTGCTGTAGGGGTTGGATGAAAATGCAGGCCCACAGATCAGAAAGTTGTATGCTGAGGTGATTCAAATTTTCTAAATCTTCTCAATATTGGTGTTGCAGAAATACTGGGTTGCTTGTGTTGTGTTTTTCTGGCTGAGGACTAAAAACTCAATCAACTTGATTTTTGGAGTCCTTAATTTGCTTTCTCTAAGTTTGATCTGGTTTCTTAATGCCTCCTTATATAAGCTACACTAATAAATGTACATATTTGCATATAAAATAACATAACAAAGTTTTAATTATGGAATCCCTCCTCTTATCCCTAGAAGACAGTGAATAAAATGGTTTGCAATTTGTTTTGCAAATTTATTGGTATTATGAAGTACTCAATACTCATTCAGCTAGTTTTACTTGACTGCCATTTTTATTTTTTTCTTCCTAAAATCAACTCTCTTCTTTCAGTGATATTGGTTCTACTTAATGGTTAACATGTATGTGTATGTGTACTGAATGCTTAGTTTGTGTTGTGTTAAGCTGTTCTGTTTGCTTTCTATAAACAAATGTATTTTTAATTTTTTAAACTTTCAATTTCCTTGTCTTCATCAGCTTGCAGAGTTGTGGCCCAGTGGTTACATGGACAACCATGGGATCAAACGTGGAATTTGCAGGGCAAAAGAGAGGCGCAGAGCACTGTACAACAAACATAAGGTATGCCTTTTGCGGTTAATAATGATTTTTGATAGAGTAAAGCACTATTCAAATCTCACCCTCTCTCTTTTAATATTTTAACTAAGTTAACCAAGGGGTTTCGATAACATCCTCTGTGCTCTAGACTGTAATTACCTATATGGTCATAACTCATAAGTCTTACAAAAGACCATATTTCCAAATATAGGGATAGTACCTTTAACCTTTGTCGCTTCTATAAATATTTCACAGTACCTCAACTTTTGAAGGTAAAAGGGAAGGTGAGAGAATGGGATTTTTTTTTTTGGTTGGAGGAGGGAGAGGGGGGGGGGGGTGAAGGGGAGGAGTTAGGAAATAGAACTCCAAAACAGTACTGAACCAATACAGATTTTTCTGGATGGAAGGGAGAGAGATTGATGTGCCAAACCAAAATGGAGCAGTTGAACCCTATTGAAACCCAATTTGCTACTGTAAGATGAATTTCTGGTTATAAGCTGAATGCAGAGCTCCAAAATCTAAGGCCAACCTATTTGTTTGTTCATAGTCAGTAACGGCCCACTCCTTGTTTAGAAGGATCTCTATATTTTATCATGCTTTTTTTGGATATCAGATAAATGTATATTGGGTGGACCTCTCTATTGCTGTATGTTTTTCCCCATGGATATTGGAAGTGTTAGAAATGGAGGAAAACATCAATATAAGTTATTAATGATGTAGATAGTGGAAACTTATTTCACCCATTTCATTTGATTGTGGTGGGGACCAGGAAAAAGGGCTCAGGCCCAAGTAGATAAAATGTGTAAGTTATAATTGGGGAGGTGTGTGTAGCATGAGAAGGGAATATAAGGAGAGAGCGAGGATAAAATGGAGACAGCATATGTATAGTCCACTTGCAACATATTGGAAGTCATTACTGCATACCCCCTTGTTTCCTCTCGGTGTTGTGAACTCCTCTATTCAAAACATTTTAGTCCTTATTCAATAACCAAATACACAGAATAAACCCCAAAAACCCCACACGCAGAGGGCCACCAGGCACCATCATCCCCACTATTACACCCTGCACCTTGATACCCTTCTCCTAGCAACTTCACAACCAAATCTGACAAAGGGGACTGGATGTTGGAAAGGTACAATATTTCAAAAGATTACCCTTCGATTTTGAGCAGTTGCGGCAGAAGAATAGCCTATTACCCCTCAGGTCTCTGTCCATCGAAATTTACATTGAGGGTTGAAGATCCACCATCTCCGCCTCCTTCTACGTGCCTCAAGTTGTCCAGCCTCTTTAACAAATGTTCAAGTTTTGTGCAAAACCTTTGCCTTGCCTGTGACGCTCTTCTTTTGTTACCCACATTCAAATATCCCAAAACAAATGTCATTTTCATTATTTGGCACCATCCCTTCTTCCTTCCTCCAAAGCTAAAACTGCTGTTGGGAAAAAATCTTCCATCCAATCATTTGTTGTTTGGAATGCCCTCGCTGTTGCGATGAGTTTTCTGCTTTAGCTTCTTATCTTCTTTTACTTCATAATCACTATCTATCTTTGTTTCTTTGATATCCATTAAGTCCTGTCGTAGTTCCTTCAAATCTTGTTGGAATTCCTTCAAAGAAGCTAAAATGACATTCATTCCCTCATGGAACTTCATAGAGAACTCAATGAGTGTTCTGGTATCTATCCTTTGTATCCGGCAGGTTGGACCAATTTATAGAACTCTCAAAATGTATTATAAGAAATAGAAGAAATTGTATTGATTAAAATACAAGTTACAGAACAAATATTCTAGTAGAGATAAACCCTAATCAGCCCAAAGCCTATGATTCCTTCAGAGTAGTGCTTGATGCATTCTTTGCCAAACTAAACAGGTTTACAACAAACTATTGCAATGCTGTCTCCCCTGTATCTTCACTCTCTCCTTATATATCCCTTCACATGCTACACACTCCCTCAATTATAACCAACTTACACATTTTATCTACTTGAGCCTGGGCCCTTTTTCGTGGGTTCTATCATATTGGTGTTCTATCTGAATTACATTCAGTGTTGTATCTATCTATTTGGTCAATTAGGACATAGCCCTTTACAAACGTCAATGCTGACGTTAATTTAGACAACTGGAGGGAAGTTGCCTGTTTGTATTAAAAGGGAAATGGAGTTTTGATAAAATTGAAAAAAATTTGCTTTCAGTGAATGGAGAACCTTGAAATTGGTGAAACCACGTTTACCTATTAATAGAAAAAGGCTCTGCGTTTGTCTGAGCTTCCAAAATTAGGTTGCTTTGAAGATCATGTCTCTCCTTGTTCTCATGAAGCCTAAAAAATGTTGATTTCTTTTAGTCTTTCTTCATTGTTCATACACTAATACTTTCCACAAAGCAAAACTGCATGACAAAGGAGTTAAATCTTGGTATTTTTAATAAATTTTTATAAATAAATTTCTTTTTGCCCATAAGGTATGGGAAAAGCATTGAGTGAATGAACCTAATTAATAATGGAAGAACATCATTTGATTCTTCCTATGCCCATAACCAGGATCTGATTTTTGTCTGGACATTGTTGTTTTCAGTTTATTTATTTCTCATTGGTTTACTTGTTTGTGGTTAGGATCAGGAAAAAATTAAGAGGAAAAAGTTGTTGGCACCTAAGCAAGAGGAGAATGTTCGATTTGATTCTAGTTCAATTTCTTCACAGCAGAACCTACGAGAGAGATTAATTCCAGAGTCTAGCAGTCATGCTTTTGCTTCAGGAAACAAGCCAGTTTCTAATACAAGCACAAGTGGCCGGGTCCCCAGTCCAATGAATGGTCTAAAACAGGAAAAGGCAAAGGGAAGTTCAAGCAGTTCCCTGGATGATGTGAGGGTTGCAGATGGTGTTTTAACAAAGAAGGTAAAGAGAAAGCCAGAACTTGAGTTGGAAGTTCCTGAGAAGCTAGCTTCTTTGCAGGGAGAAGAAAGGCCCAAGTCCATAAAGCAGTCTACTGGGCCTCTTCCCACCAAATCAAATGTTCAGCCAACATCTCTCCCTGATCTTGAACAATCAAGCTAACATCATATCGTGTAGGAGATTTAGAGGTTTACGAAGCAGAATGTGTCTATCACATTTTTTTCTTTTCAATTTTTTTCCTAATCCCACATCTCCATCAAATCGTTTCTACTTATTATCATTTTTGTAATTAAATGTCCTTGCAATGTTCCTCGAAATATAGATAGATTAATCATTATTAGTGATGCACTTCTCTAAGGCAATTGTGCTGTCTCTACTCCGCATGTTATTATGATACGATAAACGAGCATGACATATCTAGAATGCTGGGTGAGTAGAAAAAGTTATATTAGGCTACTTCCAAAGGTTATTGAAGGAAGTTTGTATATGGTTCCACAAGCGTAATAAGCAAATTCAGTGCAGTGGCCGTTTTTTTCCCCCATCATTTCTTCGATAATTCATGAAAAAAATACACCTAATTTATTTGTTTAAGGATTATAATTTTAGTTAATTAGAGATGAAATAATAGATTTAAACCACTAAATTAGTTGTGATGTATTGAATTGTAACTCTTGCATATATTGAGGAAAGTGGATAATGTGTTATTGAGACTGGAAAATTGTAAGAAACATGATTAAGAGTATTAAAGAGAGACGCTAATTGATGGCACTTAAATATGCTATCTAGCGTTGAAGTATACATTTGGTTTAATAATTTATATAGTTTTATTTTATTAGAGATGAAATCATAAATTTAAACCCCAACTTATTTTGCACTGTTATAATAAAAATTCTACTGCATCAAATCATAATTGTATATCATATGTAGAGTGAGGGGCGAGTGTGCTATGGAGTCAGGAAAATTGTAGGAAAAAGAAACGTGGTAATGGCATAAGAGTAAAAAAAATGGTCAGTTAGAAATTACTTCAGACTTCATTTTTCTTCTTTTCGCTCCAACTCGGGTATGAATGTTTAATCATGAGTTGAACGTATGTATTCAACTCCATGCTGCTGCTAGGATATATTATTTGCAGAAAATTAGGCAGCCTCAGGCCAACAAATCCACGTTTTTCTTTACTCTTTTTTGGTCTAATGATCACTGATTAAGAAGTTGAACAATAATTACAAACTAAAGGATATTAAATTAAAGAGCATTATAACAATGCACATAACATAAACACAATACAACCAAACACGTCTGTTAAAATTTTAGCACACTTAAAAGTACTAAAACACTACAAAATTAAAATCATTAACAAATCTTAAGAAATCACAGTTTTTTCTAGATTAATATTGAGAGAAACAAAATATAAACATGACTTTGCTTATCCTTTTTTTTTTTTTCCTTCTGGTTTAGTCCACAAAACCTAACAACAAACCACAGTAATATTGAAGACAGTGACAGATCTGTGATACTGCACGATAATGCTCCGACGATAAGAATGTGATGACAAAGTGCTCCAGAGACTTTTTTGTTAAGAAAAATGAGACAAAAAAGAGATGAAGACATAGAGGAAAAAGGAGATGATGGTCATATTTAGAAAATATGGATAAAAAAGAAAAAAAAATCTCTCACAATATAAAGAAGAAAAATTCACCTACTGTGAATAAAAAAATTCATTAAAGAATAGAAGAGTTTCACAAAGGAATAGAAGTCCCACAAGAGCGGAGCCCACCCCCCACCCTAATTACGTATTTTATGATGCGGCTAAATTTAAGGTAATTTTTTTGACATTCTACCGTTAGCTTTACCAATTACTATCTTCACTTCACACAGTATTTAGGCTGCAATTTCCTTTTTTTGCTAAATTTTTTACTAATATCGCGTTAATCAAACCTCATTTATTTTTGACAAACTAATTTTCTAAGTAGTTCTTAAAACATTTATCAGAATATATTCTCAAAAGAAAATGATGTAATATCCTTAAATGAGCCCAACTTTGTCTAGACGTGAATAATGAAAAAGAATAATCCAAAAAAATTGAAAACAAAAAATAAAAAAAACACAAACGAACAATTCAGAATTGACGTAGATCATAACAAGGGCAACGCGCATCAAAATCAAAGAAAAGGAGACATGTCGTGTAACTTCATTCCTTGGCAGCTAAATCCAAATCGAAAGAAACCAAACTCCGAACGACAACGATTTGTTGGTGAAGTCCCATGTTGGGATGTGGTCTCTGCACGTGCCACATGGCATTCTCCGTTCACCGGATTATTCCCACCTTCGCCAGACCCTTCCCATTCCGCAGGAACACACACCTCGTCACCGCTCAACTTCCCAACTCTTTTTCCTTCAATTTCGGATTAGATTCTCAGGTTTCCTTTCTATAACTCAACTCACTCTTTCACTAACTGTACCTCACTCATGTTTCCACTCCGATTATTAGTTTTACGGGACACGATGGCAAAATTTAAATATTTGAGGTTGTAATGCAATCAATTCATGTTGTGTAAATCAACCAAATTAGGGGGTTTATATGCATTGATGAATACACCATTGCAAATTTTTCATGCCAAAGATTGATATCTTTTTTCTCATAATTTTTTTGTTTGCACTTTACAGAACTTGAATTCAATTCAATCCCATGATCCGTCACGGTTTCCTTGGATTGGTCCAGTTCCAGGTGACATTGCTGAAGTGGAGGCATATTGTAGGATTTTTAGGAATTCTGAAAGGCTTCATTCTGCGTTGATGGATGCCTTGTGTAACCCTTTCACTGGTGAATGTAGTGTTTCAAATGAGGTTCTGTCCGATGAGAAACCGTTGCTGGAAGATAAAATTGTTTCTGTCCTTGGATGCATGGTAGCCCTTGTGAACAGTGGGAGGCAGGATGTTCTTTCTGGAAGATCTTCAATTGTGACTCCCTTCCGTGCTGCAGGGGTTAGTGTGATGGAGGATACACTGCCTCCGCTTGCCCTTTTCAGGAGCGAGATGAAAAGGTGTTGTGAGAGCTTGCATGTTGCTCTTGAGAACTATTTAATTCTGGGTGATGATCAAAGTTTGGAAGTTTGGAGGAAACTTCAGAGACTGAAGAATGTCTGCTATGATTCTGGCTTTCCTCGAAGAGAGGATTATCCATGTCCTGCTCTATTTGCAAATTGGAGTCCTGTTTATTTATCCACTTCAAAAGAGGACATTGAGTCCAAAGAATCTGAAGCAGCTTTTTGGACAGGTGGGCAAGTAACAGAAGAAGGCCTGAAGTGGTTACTGGATAAAGGGTATAAAACTATTATAGACCTCAGAGAAGAGAATGTAAAAGATAACTTCTATCAAGCTGTTGTGTCTGATGCTATTTCATCTGAAAGTATTGAATTGGTCAAAATCCCTGTTGAAGTTAGGACTGCACCTACAATGGAACAGGTTGAGAAGTTTACATCTTATGTTTCAGATTGCAGCAAAAGGCCGATCTATCTTCACAGCAAGGAAGGAGTTTGGAGAACATCGGCTATGGTCTCCAGATGGAGGCAGTACATGACTCGCTTTGCATCACACTATGTTTCTAATCAAGCAGTTATTTCCAATGAATTGTCATCAGATTATACTAACGAATCTAGGAAACTGCAGGACTCAATGATGCCTGAGGGATCCTCCCTTGAAAAAGATACTAATTTGCTGCAAGAGAGTTTGGGTGCAGCACATGGTTCTATTGGATTTGACACAAGTGCCTCTCCAAAGAAGAATACTGAGAAAACGCAAATTAATGGGGCCATAAGTGAACTCACTCCTGATGATACAGTTTCCTCACAAGCCACTGCTGCTAATGGGGAAGGATCTTTTCCAAGTTTCTTCAGCAAAACTAACCCTTTAGAAGCTCAAGTTCCTCCTTTTGATATCTTTTCCAAGAAAGAGATGTCCAAATTTTTGGGAAGTAGGAAGGTCTCAAAACCCTCTTTCAGTTATGAGGTTAAAAGACTGGAATGTCAGCCAGATTCAAGAAATCTTAAGCCAAAAATTGTGGGTCCAGCACAAAGTTCCAATGGGTCAGCTATTGTCAATTATCCATCTGGACAGCCCCAGATCACAGTTGGTGGCAATTGGAAGTTAGTAAATGTGAATAATTCCACTTCTGCTAGGACAATTGTTAATGGGTTTAGTGAAGGGGAAAGGTATCACAAGAATGATAATGCCAATACCAACTCTGAAAGGATTAGAGATGATAAGGATAAGGCTGGGTTAGCCTTATGTGATGAAGACTTGGGACTTGTTGAAGGAAACATGTGTGTGTCATCAACAGGAGTGGTAAGGGTGCAGTCAAGAAAGAAAGCAGAGATGTTCCTAGTACGAACAGATGGATTTTCTTGTGCCAGGGAGAAGGTTAGCGAATCCTCTTTGGCCTTTACTCATCCTAGCACCCAGCAACAGATGCTTTTGTGGAAATCTATGCCAAAGACTGTGTTACTGTTGAAAAAGCCAGGGGAGCACCTTATGGAAGAAGCTAGAGAGGTAACGGTTTTTTTTTCCTGGATCTAAGAAGCATACAGGCCATTAAAAAAATAGTCCTATTTTGTTTCCAATAGCCTATAAATCAGAGTTTCCAACAATAATGTTTAGGAACAAGTCCTGTTGTGGGGGAGGGGAGAGGCATTGAGGTCAAGGCTCAGGCTAGTTGCTCTATAAAGGCACTTAATAGGAACAATTTATTTGAAAATGATTTTGGCATAAAATTTGTCAAGCATAGAGGTTACTTTCCATATGTTCTTTACTACTTTGTAATTATATCTGTGCTAAACTTGTGTATCCATTGCTCCCTTAATATGAAAAACCATATTTGTAGGGTGAGCCTCATTTAGGCCCTAGCTCATTTATATAGGCTTAATGCAATAAATGAGCAAAGTTTATACAAACTCAAACTTACTAATAAGTGAGCTTACTAGTGGTTGGCTCTACTTATTAGCTTAATTGCCATTCTTCATGTAGAAATATTTAATTTATTGAACTTGGCTCTACATGAGACTAGTTCTTGTACTTGTGCACGAATTATTTTAAATTTAATATCAACAACCATGAGTCATGACTTTCTAATTCAAAGCATAAATATCGAGTTAATGTGAATTGGTTTGTTTTCTTTTTGAAAAATTTCTAATTCAAAGCAGAACAATTTAAATAAATCTTTTGACTGAAGTTTTTAAATGCAAAATAAATTAATTCAAACATATTTATGATATAAAATGTAATTGAGATTCAATTCAAAATTTAATGATTATACAGCTTGATTTTGTTCTATTTATTTGTGGTCATATTTCGTTTTGTAAATAGTTCCAAAGCAGAAAGACAAATGTAATTTTAATTTGTTTTGTTAGACTAAGTAACCTTTTTATGATATGAAAAACATAATTTAAAACATGGATTGCAGTAATTTGATGCGGGAATTCTATTGGGGATGGTTGGATGGATCTATATTTTTCATTACTAAGAATGCATTGAGACAAAGATGTTTCGTCTCTTCTATATGTGACAAAGGAATGAAAATTAGGAAATAAATCTTTTAGGGAATGTAATTCTGTGCTTGACTGGTATTCCAACAACATATGGTACTTCTGGGATTCTTTTGGAAAGTATATGAATATTTATTCTGAAATTTTCTAATTAATTTGGCTAAATTCATTCACAGTAGAGTTTCTGTATCTAATCTGCAGGTTGCTTCTTTTCTATATTACCAAGAGAAAATGAATGTTTTTGTGGAACCTGAGGTGCATGATATATTTGCTAGAATTCCTGGGTTTGGATTTGTTCAGACCTTCTACAGTCATGATACATGGTACTGGAGTTTGTGAATTTATGTGAAACAGCTTCACTTTTTACCTATTATATAAAATCTGCCCTTCCTTAAATTGTTGCTTAAAATATCTAATGCCTCTGATTCAGTGATCTACACGAGAAAGTTGATTTTGTGGCATGTTTGGGGGGAGATGGTGTTATACTGCATGCTTCAAATCTATTCAGAGGCGCTATTCCACCTGTTGTGTCTTTTAACCTTGGTTCCCTTGGTTTTCTGACCTCTCATAACGTAGGTGTTTCAAACCCATCATTTATTTCACCATAAAGAAATGTTGGGGGGGGGGGGGGTATCTTTTTGGCCATACGTTTGACTTTGATTCTGTTTTCTGTTTCTAGTTCGAAGACTACAAGCAAGACTTACGACAAGTTATCCATGGTAATGATACACGAGATGGAGTGTACATCACTCTCAGAATGCGTCTCCGATGTGAAATTTTTCGTAAGGGTAAATCTATGCCAGGAAAAGTATTTGATATTCTCAATGAGGTTGTTGTTGATCGGGGTTCTAATCCATACCTTTCAAAGATTGAATGTTATGAACATGGTAGACTTATAACCAAGGCAAGTTTGATTATGTATTTGTTACTGGTACACCAAATTTCTGTCTTTTATATTCTGTCATGAAAGCCATCACTACTCTATATTTCACTATCTCTAAACACCCTTTTGATACAGTGTCATGCCTTGTACATGATGATTGTTATGCCTTTCAGGTACAAGGTGATGGAGTCATTGTAGCCACCCCAACTGGAAGCACCGCCTATTCTACAGCTGCTGGAGGTTCCATGGTAAGTGTGAGGCGGAGTTGTAATTGTAGGAGATGAACTGTATTTGTTATAAATTAATTAGATGGACTGACTTGTTATCCTTGCCCTGAAATACCTTGATTGTTAAAATGTCTCACTTTACCAGGGAATATGGCCAGTATATTCCTTACAGGACTAGGCAATCTTTTTCCTATGAGCTATCTTTTAGGGTTGAGTTCAGTTCAGTTCATTTCTAATTCTGATAAACGGTGATTATTAACTTTAGCTATTATTAGTTCATCCAAGCTTTCTTACCCTGTATTGGTGGGTCTTCTTACTTTTAATGCATTGCACTACAAGTGGCAGCATATGAATCTAGATGAAAATATTATTTCTGAGGCTGAAACTAGCGGTATTAAAATTAAGTTGTAATCATCAATTTTCTCAACTGCATTCATTGATTTTTCTTTTCTGATGACAAAAAAAAAAAAAAAAAAAAACTGCAGGTCCATCCAAATGTTCCCTGCATGTTGTTTACCCCAATTTGTCCACATTCACTCTCATTTAGACCAGTAATACTTCCAGATTCTGCTCAACTTGAATTAAAGGTAAAGTATCATTATCTGTATGGCAAAAGTATCAAATTGGATGTTGTTGTTACCAAAATTGCAAGTTTCATTGATTATGATGTGTCTTCTATGCCAAAAAATTCTGGGGTTTAGGGAAATAACAATACAATTCATGGAATATTACAGAAACTAGGAAAATAAGAAAACTAGTCCTAAAAGACAATCCTTAAGATATGCTAAATTGTCTCTCAGCATGCATTGGAAAACTACATGGTTAAGATCACATGTTGATAATCCGTGAATTTTAGGGATGCATTTATTTCATTTGATTTGGAAATTACGGGTTAACGAATGATTTGATGATCTAGGGTTTTGTGATTAGAATACAAGTGACACAGGTTTATTGTTAACAGATTCCAGAGGATGCAAGAAGCAACGCCTGGGTTTCATTTGATGGAAAGAGAAGGCAACAACTTTCAAGAGGAGATTTAGTACGAATATCTATGAGTCAACATCCACTTCCAACAGTTAACAAGTTTGACCAAACAGGTGATTGGTTTCATAGCTTGATTCGCTGCCTAAATTGGAATGAAAGGCTTGATCAAAAGGCCTTATGAAGCATATGAAAGTGAAGAACAGAGATGCGCTATTCTCCTGTACAGATTACATTAAAGGCTTGTTTGTTTCCACATTTATAATGGAAAAATAAATCTCGTGACACTTTTTACTAAAGGAACTATTTTCCATTCCAAGCGAAACAGAGTCACGAGCATTTTCCAAACAGGCTCTAGGAGATATCTGAACTTTGCTTTAGTATAGTAGTTACTACCAATTTCTTACATTGGCTTCCCAGGGGAAGATAGGATTTGTTAGTTTTTTTCCTTCATTATTGTGGCCAGATGCTGTTGTATACTGACATTTAAAGCTGTAAATTTTTTTATCTCAGAAGCAGCTCATTAGTGTCTTAAAGTTTACCACTTTGTACCGGACCTTCTTTTTCTCATTATTGAAATAATAGTTGAGATAGTTGTGCTACAGCTACTAGTACTATTTGGGAGTTACTGCTTGTTTGTAGCCTTCATTAATTTTCAGATGATGCATCTCATTATTTTCCCCATCATTAATTAAACCATTGATTAATCACACAAGCCATTTTGGTTCTCTCTTCCATGCTTTGATTGTTAACTAGTAGCAGATCTTGAATCAATTAATCCGCGTCAGTCACTGCGTTTGACTTCATGTTTTTTTTTATTATTATTGTTTAAAACCACCCCAAGAAACCCATTAAACCACCAATTTTATTATTTGAATAACTAAAAATTAACAATGTATGTAAAATTATATACAATTTTTATTTTACATATGCATCTCAATAAAGCAATTAAAATTGCTTTTTGTTAATTAGTAGTTTACCTCACCAAAAGAAAAGGAAAATGTTAAACTCCGATATTTCCATAACATGGCCGTCGGTAAGAAGAGAAGATATTTGTTGTGGCTGTGATCTTAAAGAGGGTGATTTTCAGAAACTACTGCAGGATATGGAGATGGTTTGCGTTTATTCTACTTCACGTTGATCATAACTGAAATCATGGTAAGGCAACAGTATACATGGGAAGAATCGAAGAGAGATTTATTGTGGACAACTTTAGAGTAGAATTTATGTAATAGTACTATTGTACAATGCAAGCACAGATGGATGCACACTGAATCCCCCCATGACATTGAAAGATAAGCCAATATTCTAAGAAGAAGAAGGGAAGACTAATAATACCCACTGTGGTTTTCGATTCTGAAGAAATTTATGAAGAGAATGAAACCAAGTGGTATTCTTTGCTACTATCAAGCATGTCTTATAGTACCAAGACCCATAAACAAAGTACAAAGACAAAGGAAAAAAAGTAAGGTGATGGGGGGAGCAAAAGTATTTTCTATTAGAAAGCAAGTTCTTTTTCTTCACATGGCCCTAACAGCTCGAAACCTTGGTTCCTTGGCAAGAAACTTCTGCTCAGCATAGACAGACATGTAGTCACCAAAAAGGAACTTAGGATAAGTGTCCTCCACTTGTTGGTCTTGTTTCCCCACCAGTTGTGGTGCAGGACATATGGTGGCCTTGAATGATGGATTATAGAAGGAGGCTATTGATCTTCTGTTCCCATCAGGAGTGGCCAGAACCCTGTGCCAACAACTCTTGTATCTACCATTGGTCAGTACCTCAATCTGATCACCAGTGTTGATGACAATGGCATTTGGCAATGGTTGAACATCAATCCATTGCCCATCTTTCAGCATTTGAAGGCCACCAACCTTATCATCTTGGAATAGTAGGATGACACCTCCTGCGTCAGTGTGAGCTCGCAGACCATTCACAAACTCTGGATGGGGACATGGAGGGTAGTGGCTGACCTTGGTGCCAAAGAAGGCATTGTCTCCATCTCCACCATTGAGTGCCTTCTTGATGTATCCTTTGGGTAGGCCCAGATTCTCATCCATCACTTCCATCACCTTCTCTGCCAATTTCTTCAACTCAGATCGATATTCTGCCATGGTTTCCCTGACATTCATGTGAGCCTTAAGTTATGCATTCGTGTTGAAGCTCTACCTATTCTTTCATGTTACCACTTAGTATGTTCTGTAGTGGTTGACCATGGTTTTCAACTTCTTATTTTGGCCATATAACAATTTCAGTCATCAAGATTAAGATGGATTGAATTCTGATTTAGTCCAATTTGCTAAGTTGTACAAAAAAACAAGTTTTTTGTGAATAAGAGCAAGTATGATAGAAGAGAGTGTGCATGGAATGATAGGCGGGTTCTTCCTGATATGAAATATCAATTTTTTAAATGTTATATCTTACTTTATTTTATTATGAATAACTGTTGGTTTGCTTTATATACCTGAAGCCTGGTGTTCTTTCTGGCCATTCATAATCATCGAGGAGAGTGATAACATCCTCCCAATCTATATTCTCCAACTTTTCACTGCTCTTCTTTTCAGCTAAATCATTTAGTAGCTTGACTGTTGCTGAGTTCTTGAAATTCTCCTCTCTTTCCAGCTTATAGAACTCAGAGGAAACCTTCTTCACCCTCTCAAGAAGTTCCTCTGGAATGCCATGGTTGATCAACTGTAACACAAAGTGTTGGTTTTGATAGGTATACACTACAATACAACAGTGAAAATTTTTAATGCATTCATGTTTTAAACAGATGTTATGTTCTAAGTACCTGAAAGAATCCCCACTCTTCACACCCATTAGCAATCTGGGCCATAGTTTTGGCTCTTTCTTCTCCATTCAGCTTTGAGAAATCAATCACTGGAACTGCCATTAGAAGGTAATGAAAAGAGAGAGAGCACAAGTGTGTGTGTGTGAGAGAGAGAAAGAGAGAACAAGGTTGTTTGAGCTTAGGTAGAGCTTTGTTATGCTGTGGTTTATAGGGGAGGTAGCTGTGGCTATTTATAGCAAAATTTCCCATCATATTGGATACATAGTTATATGTCAACCAATAGTGTAGGTTCCCTTTTAAAGTAAGCAGCCGTTAGAATTAGGTCACGGACGGTGACACATTATATTAAAATTTTCATTTGTCAATGCTTGCTTTGGGAGGTACTGCTTGTTTGTAGCATACAAGTCTACAACACTGGCCCTCACTTTTCAGGTGATGCATCTCATTAATTTTCCCACCATTAATTAAGCCATTTCATTAATCACACAAGCCACTTTGGTTCTCTCTTCCATACTTTGATTGTTAATTAGTAACAGATCTTGAATCCATTAATCCTTTTCAATCACTGCGCTTGACTTTTGTTATTATTGTTTAAAACCACCCTAAGTAATCCATTAAACCACCAATTTTATTATTTGAATAATTGAAAATTAACAATGTTTTTAAACTTATATACATTTTTTTACATATGCATAAAACAATAAAAATATAAGAAGGACAACAACTAAAGTTGTCGCCAAGAGTTATACATACAATATTTTTCTTAAATTATTAGTGCATTGCATAATTATACTTAGATAAATCCATGTGAATAATTTGAACATGAATTCCGCTGTCACTAGTGATTGGATAATTTAATTTTCTTTGGGTATTGATTCAGAAGTATGAAGGAAAGGCATGGTTCCTGTGCAATTCTTCTTTTCTTAACAATGCTATGATTTTTTAATTTATCCATCTGAAGACTTTGAAAATGATCATTTTGCGTATAGTTTAAATCTCTGCCGACTAATCTAATCATATGTTGACTGCCCCACATTGCTTTGTAGAGCTACTACCAATGAACTCACACATGACATGCTCCTTTGTGACAATCGCCATTTGGAATACTATATAGTGTTAATACACTGATTTGCAGCCATAGTTTTAGGGTTAAGGAAGGCACGGTCAAGGCTTCAATAAATAATTAATAACACACAATCATTTACCTCTCTAATTTAATAACATTGTCAACTTCTCCAATTGACATTCCAATACTGTTAATGGTTTCCTTTTTGTAATTAATAAGCATAACATGGCAACATCATACCATTTTTTGTTTCTTCTTTGCGGTGGTCACTGATCTGTTATTGATCAAAACTAGCATTATTATTATTATGTAATGAATAATTGAATACTTTAATGAATTATTGGCCCTTAATTTGATTCCAATTGTCCGAATGTTAGGATACATTTCTGATCAAACTGATGATTTTGGTGTCTGATTAAGGAGTAGAGTGTTACAATCTTAACTCATCCATTGCTGTACTTGTAGTACTTCAAAACAATGTCAAAAATCAAAATTTGGTTGAGATTGCATTTACTGGCATGGATTTAATTTTGTATACAAAATGTATATTGGGTCCCCATACTCCTCTGGCCGCGTCGCATGGGTTATACAGCACCATTATTATATCAAGACAAATAACTGTTTAGTGCCAGCACTCATCTTTTGATCCCAAACTTCAATCATTCATATTATTTTATAGGTCAAGTTTAATAATGTGGATTTTCAATTCTTAAGTTAGTAAATATTCCGTGCATTATAAAATAAAACTATCTCTAAATATAAATGAAATATAAAACAAGTTTTAACCAGAGACAGAGAGCATATTGAATTTTATTTTATTTTTATGAGAATGAGGAAAGTAAATTTTAACTATTATATTTTATTCGTTAAAAATGGTCAGGATTAATTTACTCTTGGTTGTCATATCTATTTATATTTTATTTAAAAATAGTGTAGAAGAGATAATAAAATAATTTGTTTTTAATTTTTTACTAAATAAAAAATAAAATTATAAAAATTAAATCATCTGATTCATCAGGTTGAGTTGGATTATATTTAAATTTTTATCTAAATTAATTTAAATCAAACTGTAGTATATTTTTATGATTTGATTGAATAGTTTCTTATTTTAAAATTGATTTATTCCAATTGCAAACGTTTATACATGTGTGGTACTTTAGATAATTTTATAAAGTATTAATAATTTTTTATATTTATTTTTGATAAATAGAGTTAATGTGGCTAAATTAAAACGGAAAAGGATAAATATTGATAGTGGGGGTTGAATTCAATGATAGTAATGAGAATGTTATAACATTTTTTATAAAATTTAAAAATAAATGAATCAATTTTAACTATTTTTATTAATTTATATAATTTAAATTTAAATTTAAATCCTATTTTAGTCTTTATATAAAATTTATTTTTTATTTAGTCCCTATAAAAATAGTTTGTAAATAAATTCTTAAATAAAAAAAAATTAAAATAGTCATTGATGTTAACTTTCATTATAGAATTATTATTTTATATTTAAATATATTTTTATTTTCATTCTTATATGTAATACATTTTTATTGTAATTCTTATACAGAATATATTTTTTATTTTAGTCTTTATGAAAAAATTAAAAAGGGGCTAAAAAGAAAATTTTTTTGCACAAAAGTCAAAATAAAATTCACTTTTTAAATACAAGTTGAAAAATATTATAGTAATTAATTTATAATAAATTATAAAAAATATTATTATAAATATTGAGATTTAGATAAAATTATTTATTTTTATTTATTATAAAAAATTGAGAGAATATAAATTAATTTTTAAGTACTAAATTTATTTATTTTCACTCGACAGATTAGTAACAATCTTTTGTTTAATTTTATTCCTTCATTGGAGTAAGACTACGTCTTGCTTTAATTATGAAAAAAATTTAATTTTATTTATTTAAATATGGATCCTTTATTAAAATTAAATTTTTATCTCAATAATCAATATAATAAAGGTTAGTATTAAAAGTTAATATTAGTTTTAAAGATAAATATATAATTTTAATTTTAAAAAGCACAAAAAATATTTAAAATACTACATGTAGGTTTTATTCTCAAATAATTTTTTTCATTAAAAATTACATTAAGATATATTAAAAATTATAAAGAGTGAATCAATAATATTTTTTTGTTCTTTAACTTAAGAAACTGGTTAACATTTGTAAATTTTTATTTATGTAACATCCCTCTAACTATTAAGTTGTAACTCATAAATTGCAACAGAAAAAAAAAATTACTGTGACTTATAAAACGATTTTTAGGTGACTCGAACGAAACTATTATATGTTTATGATCTTGACCAATTAAAATGTGGACTTATTTTTCAATTAAAAAACATTAAGATCTTGAGGTTTACTGAACAATACAAACCTAAATATGGGCTTGAGTTTAGTATACATTCACTAATTAAATGAATCCATGCACAATCTCGTGAGTTAATTAGATTACTTCATTATTTACTTAAATTGAATTCTTTTACCTTTTTATGTATTCAAAGTAATTTGGGAACGTTATATTATTTTTCATTCTAGTTCAGCTCTCTATTGCTTTGTATATATGATCCCTTCTTTCCGTTAAGAAAAAGAGTAGCCAATAGCCACTAGCATTAATTTAATTAGAGCTAGATTGGAAATCTATGCAAAGTTAGTCTTAGAGAAAATCCAGGAGCTTTGTTAGAACTAGTTATACGAGTTGAAACTGGAGACAAAGATTAGAAATCTTGAGCCATCAGGAGTCAGCACTAAACTCTATCTATGTATTCTATCAATGTTGAAGTAATTAATATCAACAAACGATCCCCCAAAATGTCCCATGTTGATCGGAACATGGGTTTCATTATCGAAGGTCAACTCAACTCAAGGCCAAAGCTGAGGTGTAAGACAAGAGAAATAAACAATTAATAATGGGATAAAGAAATTTATGTAACTTAGATGAAGTCTTTATATATGCCCTATATATATATATATATATCAAACGTATTGAAACACAATGTGTGTTCAGTTCCCAACTTGAACTTTTTGCAACTGCAATTTACTTGTAATTAATGTAGGGATGGAACTTCGTTTATAAAATATACATCTTGATCGAGAGAAACAAAATGGTACACGAACAAAATTCTCATACATACAAAATAAAAAGAAAAAGTGAAAAATCTCAACAACACAGTGCATATAAAATTGAGATGAAGAAATCCAATGGGCGTGCAAGCTAGCAGTTTTTCTAGGGTGGCTTCCATGGATCCAACATTTCACATTATTCTTTTGCTTTTATGGGTTACGTAGCATATTATATATGTATATTCTTTTTGTTTCCCACAAAACAATGTTGATCATATATATAGTGCTCAATTATTAGCCATCTCAAAACTCACTCCTATGCTACCCTTGAGCTTGAATTTTCTCTGAAATGATTACAAAGTGCACGTGCTTGGCAATCGATTAGGAGAATGAAACTTGAATGTACACACACACACACACATATACTTTAATAACTCTTGTTCGTCTAAAGGTGAACTTGCCGAGACACATGACAGAACCAGTTAGGCAATAGAAAATATTCGCAAACAGATATCCCAGTTGCAAAATTATTATTATTCTTCTTCCAACTTGATATCGTGACCTTATTATTACTTTACCTATTTTTGGACTAATTTTGAAGTGTTGATAATGTATTGAATCCTTTAACTATATATAGGAATTTTGACACTGGTTACGTACTTGTTGATCTATTTTTCTGTGGAAAACTTAAGAAACAAAATGAATTACGCAATCTCGTTCGCCAAATGCCATGTTCTAGCATACACAAGCAATTTGAGTCCGTTGTAGATTTTGTCAAATTGTTTTAAGTTGATTTACAATTTATTATATTTTTCAACCAAGATTTTTTAGTTGGCAAAGTGCGCTATCGACTATCGTATTGGTCCAACTATGTGTATGTGTATGTGTGTTTTTTTTATTTTTTATTTTTTATGTTAAACTTAATTGTTAGTTAGTGAGAATTTAAGTATGAAGTTTAAACTTAACAAAGTGAAATAAGAAATAAACCCATTCACTCATGCTTATAGACTTTCATAGCACAACAAAAAATAATTATTGTATTACA